TTAATCCTCGACAATGTTTTTCAGACTCCAAATGTCCACTGTGTGGTTGGTCATGGTAATAATGCATTACCTGATCCCTCAGATTTGTGGGCACCCAAGCACACCTTTGTTATTGCCCTGACCTCACCACTAGCAACTCCAACACACTACTATTTTTCCGAACTGTCTCATCTCCCAAAGCTGGACAATCTGTGGCAGTCGACTGAAGTTTGCTCAACTCCTCAGAATTATTCCACGGCAAACACACACGTGTCTGATTAGCGTGAACAGCAACAACCCACGATTCTGAGTGGTCACGTTCAGGGCCCATGTCACTAATCTGTGGCACCAGCGAATGCGCAAGTGGGTTGTTTTCAGGGACTGCAACAATTTCTCGTGAGCTCACAGGGCCATCCACAGTACTTCTTCCTAATCGCTCAGGTTCTCAACGGGTGAGTCCGATGTTGTCCTTGACAGGCAATCTACAAAATAATTTTGTTTCCACTTCAAAAGTTAAACTGTTCAACTCCAACGACCAGCATAGCAGTTTTGCAGCACGAGTTTTAATTGTGTGCAGCCAATTCAAAGCCCTGCTATCTGTTCGCGATTAGAAGGTTTGGCCCTCCAAATAACCCCTAAATTTGCTTAGGACACATACTATTGCGAGGCATTCCAACTCGTTGATATGATACTGTCACAAACGTAATCACACCCGGGTCGGGCTTTTCCTCCTGATAGAGCATGGCACCCAGACCAATTTTACTAGCATCCATTTGCACAACTAGTTGAATTCCTGGGCGAGGGTAGTGCAGCTGCGTGCGCTCACACATCTCCTGCTTAGCCTGGACAAATGCGTGCTCGCACTCCTCTGTCTAAACCTATTTGGCTCCCTTCTTGCGCAACCCATTAATCAGGGCACAGATATGGACAAAATGAGGTACAAAACGGGCATACCATTGGCACAGCCTTTCGTATCTCTGCACTTATTTTAGATTAGTAGGTCTGGGGAAGTCTTGCACCCCCTGAACCGTCGCAGGATCCATATCGATTCCTTGTGGGGTGAAGATGTGGCCAAGGTATAAAACTTCTTTATTCCCAAAGGAGCATTTTTCCTTACAAGTTAATCCATATTGAGGCGACCTGGCAGAAATAAGTGCAGGTGTTCCAAGTGTTGAACAAAAGACTTTGAGAATATTATGATATCATCGATGTACACATAGCAACACGTTCCATCAGACCCCGAAGTACCTCGTTCATCAGTTGTTGGAACGTTGTAGGAGCATTTCGTAATCCAAAAGGCATGGCATGGAATTGGTACAAGCCTTCTTCAGTGACAAAAGCGGAGCGGGCTTGGCTCTTTGAATCCAAAGGGATCTGCCAAAAACCTTGACGCAAGTCCAGCATCAAGAATCATGTAGCCCCTCCAATGCAAGTCAACAAACCTGGAATGTGTGGCAATGGATAGGAATCTGACACAAAAAGCGCTAAGACCCATCTTTTTTCGGCGCCAAAATGAAAGAAGCCCATGGGGAACAACTTGGCTCAATTAATCCTTCCATTATCATCTTTGATATTTCCTCTATTTTGAATTCTCTATTTTGTGCAGAATATGGGTATGGGCGGGACCTTATAGGGGTTTCGTCTGTCAGTTCAATTGTGTGACACGGGATTACTGTCTTCCCTGTCTGCTCAGAAAATACATCCGGAAAACGCCCTAGCAATCCCAACAAGGCATCTTTGTTTTCTTCACACGTGATCTCGATCCGGACCTGGTCAAGATTTATAAGAGGAGAAACCATATTTCAGCAATGGAAAAGAAACACCCAACAGCGAAAGCAACAATCCTCTTGCCACGTCAACAACATTGTGTAGTATGGAAAAAGTCGACTCCAAGAACCATGTCCAATGATAAACCTGAGACAACAGAAAGTCAGGCAACATCTTTGCCCCCCACACTAATATAGAGAAAAACTTGCCATTGGGCTTGCAATACTGAATAATCTGCTAACGTGACTGTGAAAGTCCCTTCCACAGAAATGTGTTCACGCAAACCAAATTTAGTTATATTGCAGGACTGATCATGCATCTTGAACAGTCCAAGTCCAATAGTATTGATACCAGCAGGCTACTCACCTGTACAAGAAAGTAAGGCAAATCATTATCAGACACATTCATCACCTTGGTTGCACACAAATGAGGATAATTGCCTGGCCAACATCCTATAGAATCAGTCTATTGGTTCGCCCGCTTGTTGTAAAAGTCCTTGCCATTAGTCGTCTTTGGCCGATTTGGAAATCAGGGCCAGCAAATCTATGCAAAAATTGAAGTTTAAAACCATCGCCTGACACGACATGGTCCATCACCTCAAGCCACCACCCAACAGCTTCTTCCTGCAAAATCAACCCCAAATGTCTCAACATAGATTCATGCGAAACTTCAAGGGCTATTTTATGGATGTTTTAACATTTCTACATAACCAAAAGGATCCTCTCCCCTTGCCGCTGAAAATATTTGCCAGGGACACGTGAAGCGGAGATCTCCTTTTTACTCGAGATGCAAGCGCCGAGGAAACACGTTTTTTTTATTTTCGCATAATAATTTTTTGTGATATAGAATCATCACGAGTTTCACTTTCTGACTCGGTTGCCTTTGATACACACTCTGGCGGAGATAATTTAGACCATTTAGGTATTGGCATATCTTTTGATATTTCGCACTCTAGATCTAGATGGCTCAGGAAGCTAGCAGGCATCCTTGCGCGAGTATGGGACTCATCTGTAATGGCGAGTCCTTTCGCGACATGAGCTTTAGGAGGTTTTGGTCAATAAACGAAACCCTAGCTCTCAGTACTCGCACTGCTGTGGTATTGTTTATGGTAGGGCCTCTGTTTCACGCGACGCACTGAATGACCGTGTGCAGAGTATAAGAAGGATCACTGCCAGTTTTCTGCAAAATAATGGCGTTTATTTTTTATTCCAATTTTTTATAGCTATTAAATTGTTTAATGGTGACAAGTTTGATACTTCTCCGGGGGAGTGAAAATATCGCCAACAATTATAGCAAAAAAATCACCATCATAACAGCAACAACAAAACAATACAATCATATAACAACCCGACACGGATTTCTTCAAATACGAATGCTGAACGGAGGTAACTGCGGAGCAACCATCCAGGGTAGTATTAAGTGTTCCCCCAGTTCTTAAACAGATTAAATAACACGTTCCAAGGACAACTTCACAGCCCTCAGGTGGTCATCTCCCTTCTTCATTGCGAGTCTCCCAGCTGCCGACTCCCCATAGTCTTCAGAATTCAGGAGGGCAACTTTCACGGCAGTGGCGGGTGGTTTTCTGTGACGATCCAAAACAAATGCAGCGAAAATTCACCTCCAAGAGAAAATAGCTGCCTCATCAATACACCCGGGCACACCACGGCCGTGATGCGGTTTGAACATCTGACACCCTACGCTATGTTTCTTTTCCACCCGACACTTTCCTCCGCTCCCGAAATATTCCTTTGTCACTACTTAGCTCATTCCAGGCCCCGAAGCCCACAACTACAGCAAATCAAATGTTTTAACTCGTACTCACTACGCTGCATGGCCACCCCGCGCGTCCCTCGCTCCTCCATCCTTTTCAGAAAATCTATGAAGCAGATTCATGGTAAAACTGTTGACCATGCAGTACTGCATAAGCTCTTGATTGTTGATAATTGGCGCTCTGATCTGAAAAAAGTCAAAGATGGCATGAATTCCCATGTTTCCTCTGTTGGCCATATCTTTCACTACTCACAACAATCTGGCCTCATTCCTGATATGCAGCTTCATAGCCTTCTGAATTTACCAACCTTGCAGCAGGAATTCAAATTCGACAATCTCCTAATTGGACCCCTTTAGAATAACTTCCTCCGTTAACTCCACCTCTGTTGTCAGAACATCCAGCCTTGTGGAAAAGCAAGAATTTGAAACCATTCGGCAACCTGCGGCTCTTGAAAAATTGAGGGTTTTTCTTTACAGAATTCGATAACAATGTCTCATTGTTATTTTGGTTTCTTTAGAGAATTCCCTCAGGGTTCTCTGGTTCCCAAGCCCAACATTTGGTGTTGACAGATTGTCAAGAATTGATGTACTTGTTAATTGTATACTTTTGTCTTTTATTTAAATCCATGTATTAATTCATATTGACTTGCTTATCTTTTACTATTTGTTATTCATGTAAATTTGCTGATCTGCCCCTACTGGACATCTGTGAAAAAGAGCTTCATAGCTCATCAGATTCTTTCAGGATAAATGATTATAATTCCACCACTAAAATATATATTTACAATGTAACTGGTATTGGCCAATACATCTCAATTATTAAAAATGTCCTGTTAAATTACTCAATAGAGGATTATACAGAGCAACATCGCCCTGACTGGCATGATTGACGTCAAAGAGTGTTGAGGCTCAGTGATCCTTTCCATTGCGTCTCACTCATATTCCAAGGAAACCCACATTGGCAGCTGCCCATGTGTGTGACAAGATAGCTGAGCACCGGCCTGCAAGCGGGCATTAGTCGACTAGTATGATGTGATGATTGCTGTATAATCCTCATTGAGACATTTTTGAACGACGTTACGGTATCTTTAACATCTGCTGAGAGGCAGATGGCAGAGATTTGATGGTTAAGGCACTTGCAGTATTAACCAGGGCTGCCTGCCAGATTTCAACCGTGAACCTCTGTAATGAGCAGCGAATGCGCTATCACTGGGCTGCGTCACCAAAGTGGAGGATGATGATTGCAACTTTAACGGTGATTATGTTGTTATTATCATGTTTAGCTATCCATAAATAAGTGTCATTGAGGAAGATTCTCAGAACCCCTATGCCATTGATATAAGATGTACTAATAAAAATATATATTTTTTATTATTTTATTGTTTCCCTTCTACGTGACTTTACCGAAAGAACCAAGAATATGAATCCCTGCAGTCACGAAAGCTTTAAATCAAAATTTAATTCATGTTTATTTTATCTTTCAGCTAGGGCAGCTTTAAGTACAACAACATCTACAACTGATTCAACAAGTGAGTACACTTTCAGTAAATGTGCTTATCACCGAGCATGGTTTTTAAACATAACATAAAAAATATATTTAAACATTTTTTAATTAAGTTAAACAAAAACTTACACTCGCATGCTGCGAGTCCTCGCTCAACGCCGCGGTTGCGTTCCTAAAAATTGCTGCTTAAAGCAAATTCGCGTTAAGCAAGAGTAATTGTCCCCTGGGGAATAACGGTGATGGTAGGGGGAGCCATTCCAATACGGTATTTGAATTATTTTTATATTACAGTCCACTGTTGTACATGTTTTTTTACGTGTTGTGTTTATATATTTATATAAATATGCTATGTGTGACAGTAATTGATTTAAACATAAAGTGTGTGAGAGATATGGCGAGTGAAAAAGAGAGAGAGAGATGTGACGATGCGCATGCAAAGATGCCAAAACAAAGCCTGAGGAGGAAGAGGATGGCATGCCATGTATCACAGCGCGTATGAGTTCTACAGTACCAATACTACGGTACTACGCTACCAGCTTCCAGCATCACAGAACAACGCTGCCAACACCCACGCCGCTAAGAAAATTAGTCCATCACATGCTAGAGTCGCGTTATAGTGAGTAGTCTGTCACGTGCTAGACTCCCGTTGTAGTGGGTAGTCCGTCACGTGCTAGACTCCCGTTGTAGTGGGTAGTCCGTCACGTGCTATTGTGACCCGTGCCCACTGTGTCTTGATATGTCCTTGCTGTGCTCGTTATCGAGGACACATTGCGGCCATTAATACATTATAAAATAAAGTTGTGGTAGTACTCTGCGCTGTTTTGGTTCTGTTGCGTGATCCTCCTCGTCAACTGTGATACGACTCGTAGCTAACACTGGCCACGTGCACCCAATGAATTTCTGGACGAGGGTCCAAAATTAGATGTTTCTTTGTCCGGCTCGCAGCTCACAGGTACGCCAACGGACCTGTAATATCGATGTGCTGGTGTCACGATTGGCCCCCCGATAAACATCTCCCTCTCTTCAAAATCATCCTGCGGTGGTCACGTGATTCTGGCAATTGAGTCAGGTGCCTGCCTATTCTGAGATGTTGATGAAGGGCGTGGCCTAACATACTCCCCATTTATCCTAAGCCAATCGTAACCCAGAAACATTCACACGGTTTAATAACCATATTGTAGTGCGAATATACGCACCATTTATTAATAACATAACCACAATCGTCACACTAAACTTGCGTTATAGCGAGTAGTCTGCCACGTGCTAGACTTGTAGTGTAGTGAGTACACCGTCACGTGCTAGACTCACGTTGTAGTGAGTACACCGTCACGTGCTAGACTCGCGTTGTCCTGAGCAGCCCGTCACGCGCGAGACTCGCATTATAGTGAGTAGTCCGTCAGCGATAATGCACTACGTGAGGATTCACGCAATCCTGTTTGGTGACCTCGGCTGCCTTCTGTGGCGAACTTCTGAAAGACATATAATCTTAGAGTAGACAAGGTTTGTTACGGACAGTCTGATAATTTGGGTGGCAGTGTTCATTAGTTCTTAGATCCGGTGGTATTGTTCAACATGCTAGTATGACGATGTTTATACTGGTAGAAACCTCCTGGTTACACCAGCCCACAGGGGATTATTTCGTCCGTCCGTCCGTCGTGCATCCAAAAATAAGAGGGATAGGGCTGGCTGGAGAGGGGAGGGTGGGGAGGGGCTGGGTGGGGAGGGTGGGGAGGGTGGGGAGGGGCTGGGTGGGGAGGGTGGGGAGGGGCTGGGTGGCGAGGGTGGGGCTGGGTGGAGGGTGGAAGGGGTGGGGCTGGGTGGGGAGGGGCTGGTCACCCCGTGGTGCCCTTATAAAACTCAACGTTTAACCTACTTACGCCGGCTTGTGCCCGCCCTCACAGTCGGCCATATTTGCGGAATACACCACGACGCCGTTGACCCTCGCCACTGACCGAGCAACCCAACGTTCCTACCAGCTCCCTCTGCAGGAATGTGTTTGCTGGCTCCTTGGCATTCTGGGCCCATCTGGATCTTGTGCTCAGAAACTATGATAAAAAAAATGCATCTTTATACATCAACTTTACAACATAAACTAATAGCAGATCTGACTGTTTTCAGCTTCCACAACTCCAGTGACAACGGACACTATTCAAACAAGTGAGTTATTTGTTAAAATGTTATTCTCTCTATTTGAACATATACACATTTTGCCATGTAATTACATTCACTAAGTAATCGTATTGTTGGTTGTAGATATGTTTTTACACTTTTCTGCGTGTTTTAACCATTAATAAAGCGAATTCGATAATCACCGTTTATAATAAAACAGTGAACTCTATTGAATTCACATTCGTGTTTGCTTCTTCAGCACCTGCAACGACTGCTTACCCATGGATTATAACAAATTCATCGAGTAAGTGTTTTACACTCTATTTTGATCATCACTTCTCTGATTGTTAATCAACTTAATTAAAGAGAAACAACAGTTAATCCCCATGTCAAATATTATATTTTTGTTGATATTTTTAAAATGAAAACATTCATTTGTATTATTATATTATATTGCACTGCTTTTCAAAGTCACTTTAAGATGTTTTCTTGTTCATGTTTTTGTTTTTTTATTTGTTGCTGTTGCACCCGATTCAAGAGCCGAATGGCTCACAGGGCTATACCAAATAAATTAAACCATGAAACTAAACTATGAAAATAAGGTTGAAACGTATTAATGCATCAGGTCTGTCCACCCATCTGTCTGTTTGCCCTTAACACAGGGGCATAACCCTCATAAAGATGATCAACATAAACGAAACTCATAAAGTTGTGCAACTAATAGTTGCATACCCAACAGAAAACCAGCCGCATTGACCACAGGGGTTGGCAGGGACATCCCGGGCCAAACCGTGTGGTTTCAATGCGGCCTACGGACGGACTGCTTCCTGCCTGTCTGGCACTGGAACAACCGTAACTTTTTCTGTTTAGGACAATCACAATTGGGAACACGCTACAGAAGCCACGCACGTGGGCCCTGTGCTGTTAGCGAGCAACTAGACTCCTAGCGTAGTTAGTAGTCCGTCACCCGCCAGACTTGCGGTGTAGCGGGCTTGGTTCGTGTTAAGCAATAAACCTTCCATAAAAGAAAAAAAACGCATTAAAGTGAAAACACTTTAACGTATTGCGCCAATGACACAACACTTTGTGAAATTAGAGCCTCGTACCACATCGACCATCAATATTGACTTCAATCAGTGCACAGGTGCACTATCATCATAGTTTGTGCAACAACGACATGCGGTTGAACCAAAGTAAAATTGGAGGCCATCGCCAAATTGAAGGCAATGCGCAAGTTAATTTCTGCCGGTGGCTCCGCTACCCCTTTCTGACTGTAAATATGATTGGGGCAATGCTTGACAAGCATCTCAGTTTAAACCCCAGCCGTGTTACAAACATCTGCCGTGACTGCATCTACCACATCTGGGTGCTCCATTATGTTAGATCCATACTGGATAACGTGCTACGGTGGCAAGATGTTATCTCCCTCGCCTGGTATGCAGGAAGTCATCGGTTCGATCCCAAGGCTGAAGCCTATATATTTGGAATTTGCATGTTCTCCCCGTGGTCAAGTGGATTTTTCTCCGGGTCCTCCAATTTTTCTCTCCACATTTTGAAACATGCATTTCGAGTATTTTGCTGCGATAAGTTGCCACCTGATAAGCCACTTCATTGAGTTATCACTTGTGGACAGGTCACATCTGAAAGAGAGCTACACAGTCAAAACAGCCTAACCAGGCCTCACGTTGTGACAGTTCCAATAGACTCCTCATATGGCTTCATTGGCTGCCGATTCTGAAATGTATTCAGGTAAAAGGCTGCATCCATAACTTACCAGGCTCTGCAGAACAGTCGACTGTCTCTCTGAACAGCTCATGGTTCACAATTCCGATCAAACGTCTGCAATTATCCAGCGAATCATTGCTCCTGATTCCACCGACCAGAGCCATAATGGCCAGCGGAGCATTCTATAATGCTCTGCCTGATAATATTCGATCTCATGCCATCTTATGAAATGTAAATAAATAAACATTAAACATTTAAAACGTCGTTGTTTTGCGTAGCGTTTGGGACTCGGACCAAGTCACCGGCTGCCTCTCTAATCCAGCATCGCCACAGGCCTCGGCCTCGTGACATCGCCTCTGAGATATGGCGCTGGAGAAATACATTTGCTTCTATTTGTTGTTTGGAATTACACTGAACAATGAGGAACAGAGCAATGAACACAAATTAGATACTTCATATTGATTGTTAAAGAAAGCAAATGGGCTTGCGAAGGACACATTATAGCTAGAATGGAGTTATGGCCAATGGACACGACTGGCGACAGAATGGCAGCTGAAGAAGCAAGCATTCTCGAGAGGATGACCATTGCAGAGACAAAGCGATGCAATCAGCTGATGTGTGAGAGTGAAATGGATCGTGGCATCATGGTATCATGAATTATAGCAATGCTATAGGAAGGCCTTCTGGTGGCTGTTCACGTAGTCTGCAGTTATTTTTTAGGAGGGAGTGCTGTTGCCATGTATTTACCGATTGCATCATTATTGTGTATAATAGCAGATCACTTAACACGGTAGTAGAGGCTTTCCTAAAAAGTGCCACGTTAAGTGAAAACAATTTCCCCACAAATAATGTAACGATAAAGGTTAGAGAGATATGATGTACTACGTACACATGTAGGATTGATAATGAATGATGGTGATGATATGTAACATTTGGTTGCTATAGCTTATTGAGTACCATGCATTGTTTCCCAATTTCGTTGACACAACTATTCATTTGGACGTGGATGTAATTTAGATTTTTAGGTTTAATTTCTTTTCGCATGAACTCCAAATTGTTATATTGTAAATCACAACGCGTGATCGTGTTGTTTGTCTTCACAGATGCGGCCCTGCGCCTGGTCGACAGGCAGTACAGCTGCCAGGGACGGGTGGAGATACTTCAGAATGGCACATGGGAGAGCGTATGCTTCTATTACCCATCCATTAGCTATGCTGTGTGCCAGGAGTTGGGTTGTGGCCAATCAATAAATTACAATTATTACTATGTGGAATGGTATAATACCGCGTGGACCGCCTCATGCACCGGATTAGAGAAATCAATGTCCCAGTGCACGCTGTCACGACAAAACCAGTACTGTAGTGGTGGATACTGGGACCCAACAAAGAGCTACGTTTCATGTTCAGGTACTGTGCCTTACAAAATATATTTTAACCGAATCAAAGTAAAGCAATGCAATGGTGTTCATTGTTCACAGCGGTGGCTCACGGCCCCACTTAGAGCTTGGGGAAAAAAAGTTTTCTCCACTACATGTTGCGTATAGAACCATGTGTTGCCCTAATCAGACATCATGCATGTGTGGATTAACCCATATACGTGTGGTTTAACATGCAAACATACATGCTTTGATTATGCATATTTTACAAACGCGATGTGTGATTAAAGCAGACTTAATGATACCTTGCAATACGTGTCTATTTGGTGTTTGAATATTTTAACACCTTCGGTATTATTGCAGGAAAGAATACGGCCTATTTTTTTTATCGTATTTCTTCCATCTTGCTATTAAATATTTGCGCACGTTAATTGCAAGTGCAAAGCCTGAGGCGGAGATTCTGCGTCCTAACTGGAGCCATGAACCCCATCCACAAGGGATGCCAGGCTGTGTTTGATGAAATTACCCAAAAGAGTTCAAATTAGCCCAGTTTGAATGCAGCCTAAAGTGGAATAATGCGTAGTAAAGAGTTTCAGTTTGAATAGCAGAATATTGAAAATCATAGAATGGCCAACATTTGGATCCTGGCATATGGGCTGCAATAGATTAACGAAGAGTCAATTTAGATTCGTACTGTGTGCGTGGATGCGTTCTTGTGGGATGTTTAATACTCACGTTTCACGGTTACTTTCATTTTGATCTGCAGCTGCAGGGCTCCGTCTGGTTGGAGGTGCCAATCGCTGTGAGGGCCGCATGGAAGTCTACAAGAATGGCGTGTGGGGAGAGCTCTGCAGCTCCACTCTGAACAGAGACATCGCAGACGGCATTTGCCGTCTGCTGGGCTGTGGCTGGAGCCTTGCTTATGGTAGTAACGTGTCGGCATTTGGACTCGGACAGGGAACCATCTTCCCAGACAACCTATCCTCACCTGGCAACAGAATATATGATAACCTCGTGTACGGAACTAACAATTGCAGCCTTTCACAGACAGCTGCCATCATTTGTGAAGGTGAGCAATGATTTTTTTTTATTTTATCAATTTTAAGTACACATTTAGCCTACATTTCCTTACCCCAATCTATCAAATATTTCCAAATTGTATCTGCCATTACCCAAATAATCTCTGCCACTTTCCATTGACACATTCTGCTTTGTTGTGTTTATATTTTTTTGGTTTAATCGCTGCTTTATCTTAACATTAAATCGTGTTGCCCTCAACTTGGCACCGATCTTTAATTGTAATCTCCTCTTGCTTCTCGTATGTATGTTGAACGTCCGGCCGTGCTAATTGTAACTGCGGGGTTATACAACGTTTCAGTGTTTTCTTTCCACTTGTTTATCACACCGTTTAGTTCTGAGATGCTCTCCATCGTTGCTCATGGTATTGTTTTGATGGCGCATGCTTGGAATTAACCTGACAGAGAGGAAGAGTTTATAGAACGTATACTAATAAATAACATAATATTGACCGTCAAGGAAAGTAAGTTGCACTTGGGCAGGACATGCTACTAAAATGAATGGTGGCTTTTCAAATGAAAAGTATATTTGGTATCTCTCCATTCTCATAGCACAGTGTTATCGCGAAGGTGATATGCTTCACGTAGCGTGCAATAGTTTTACAGCCGGTAGTGATGGTGCCATGCGTTTCCCGATTGCATAATGAATGGGTCATTTGTCAAATTTGGATGACGACTCCAGCACACAATGACCTACTCTTTTTCGAATGTCACAGGTTCTGCAAGCTTCACTGTAAAGCAGATGGTGTGTATAAGTTGGTTAATATACCCACTATATTAACCAGGGTGCCTCAATATTTGACCGATAAACTGCAGCTTTATAATTACTCCAGGAGTGTGAGTTCCTCACATACCGAGCCACACTTTCAGCAAAAGTTTCAGAGCTCGGGCTTGACACCTTTATTTGCCACAGAACGGGCAGAACCGATTATTTTATTTTTCATCAATTCCAATATCCCTCTATTCCTACAAAACAATCAAGATATCTACATAGCGACATCGTCCTCTTCCTTCCACGATATTTAGCATCACGACCACTTCCTTAAATCACACCAACATAATATCCTATAGCAATGCATTTTATATATTTTCACAGAATCCGCATATCTGCATAGTGATAACAATAATTATCTTGAATCTGCGTCATGACTATAATACTTTCGCTACACAACACCAAAGTAATTTACTGGATCGTATTGCGCAGCCATAAACAACACTGCCTAAGGCACAAGCGTGTCTCGCTAAACGAGCGAGATATGTTAAGCGAAATTTGATCAGTAAGCGAAAACTCGTTAAATGATCGTTTTCCCATTGACTCACTCCCACGTTAAAAGCGGCGTTACCTTTCAATTCTAACATTGTCCACCATTGAACAACTTTTTTTTAACAAGATAAATACAAATGACTGTATAGTTGTAAAATAAAGTAATAACTCATCAAATGTCACACCGCACATGAAGAACCACATTGCAAGATCCCGTATATAGCCTATGACATCACCTCCTGTCTCTCCACTCACACAGACCTTTCGCGCCCTCTCTTAACCTCCCCCCGAGACAAAGATCCCCTGCGTAGCCTTAATAGACTGTTGGGTCAAGTGCTGTTAGCGAGCACCTACGCCTTTGTCTCACGAGTGGCGATGTTTACACACCGCACCAAGTACACATTTAAGTGGGTCCTGGGAGAGCTCTAGGACAGGTTCGGATAATCGTCATTGGTGTTGGCCGTGAGCGGGAATCGAATTCGGTTGGACCGGGGCTTGGAGTGCCACGCGCTAACCGTTGCGCCACCCATCCATTAGGGTTCGACCACAAGGCCCTCACCTGCCACCCACCCCACACCGCACCCACCCCAGACACGCGTTTCACGCATCCCAGCACAAATGCGAAGCAAATACAGTATCTGGGGGGCTGTGGTTGAGGGCCGTGGTGCGCCTCCTGCCGCCACACGAGGCTTTTGATAGATCAGTTTCCGCTCGTTACATTCATTGAAAATTACTCGTTCTGGCGAATTCTCGTAAAAAAAAGAATGCTCTTGCAGCGAGAATGGCTTGCATTAGCATTGACTTCACGATGGTCACTCAAAACAATTCCCCCGTGAACAGTAAAATATTTTGCAATGATACCCTGCACCAAATATAACTACCTACGCCTGTCCTTTGGGCCCAAATATCAATGTTTTTCTTGAGAGATGGCCACGCTTCTCTCCACAAGGTTGTTGCAACTCAAATCAGTCTCATCTGGTTCCAGGCTCAATCCCCCCCCCCCCCCCCCCCCCCCCCCCCCCATTGTTATGCTCTTCACGGGGTAGGGGGGGAATATCTCAATGCAGGTCATACCACTTTAAAGTTTAGTGGTGTAGTTTAAAAATAAATATATATTCCCGTGTCTTGTATTCCTCGTTCAACGCGGTAGACGCGTTCCTGAAAAGTGCCGTGTTCAGCGAAAACAATTTCCTCCCATGAATAATTCAATGACAATGACGTTTGGCGAGATTCGACGTAGTTCGCACACACTGAGATGGCCGTACAATTAACCGAGGGTAGGCTGCCACTGCATTACTGTATCATTCCGCATGCTATTTGACTTCAAGGCTCAGCCGTGCGGCTCAAGAAAGTAGTCCGTTGTCAACCACTCAGAAACTGCGCTATCACGGTGCACATTCCACGTTATGGTGGGAACGTTCCGAATTATCACGGTGCACATTCCACGTTATAACGGGCGTGTTCCACACTATAGCAGTGCACATTTCACGTTATAACAGGCACGTTCCGTACTATAACGGGGCGCGTTCGGCGTTGTGTGAAAAGTGTTCCTGAATGGAAGAACCGCGTTATAGCAGAAATGAACACGACGGGTTAAGCGAGGACTTTACCTAAAAAAAGATTCCTCTAGTAGAGTTGTTCTTCTATTTACTGTTGAGCTGAACAAATTGTGGTTGGTGTGTTAGACGCGCGTACACCATGTGGCAATTGATGTGTTTGACTTTGTCGGGTAGTGGAGGGACTTAACCACGCAGATTTGGTCAGATAATTGCATGGCCTAACCCAAAATAAAATTCTGAATCATGAATGTTGGCTGTGAAACCTTTTCTGTTTAGTTACGTTGGAATTGCATGGTGTAAAATGTAATCCTTCAACTTGTTGTTTTCAACAGCATCCGGGAACAGAAACCAATCGCTGATCATAACTGGACCAACGAGTAAGTTCAACTGGCAGGGGGCGAGCAGTGAGTTCGTGTGGGTAGGTGAAGGGAACAGATCTTGTCTCACCTTTCGTTGTGTTGTACCCTCTAATCATGAAAACTACTTCACCTTTAAGTTAACGCATGTTCACGTTATCTTAAATTTCACAATTCCCATGTGCTACATGAGGTGTGCTACATAGAGAGTGAAGTCTTGTTGGGGGACGAAGTTGGTCATGTAATGATGACCGTAAATATCATTTGTCTTGTGTTGCGGGCTAATGGAGTAATATTCGTTATAACAAACACATTTTATGGATAGATACAATGAGATCCTTGTCTACTCCTATTTGTTTCATATGCAAATATGCGTGTGTTTTATGTGTGTGTTTATTTAGATGATATGATTCATCTGGTTGACCGTGAAATGGAATGTCAAGGTCGCGTGGAGATATTTAACAATGGAGAATGGGGAACAATATGCAGAAGCACTTCCTACATGGGCAACGTTGCCTGCCGTGAATTGGGATGTGGATATGAAATATCATCCACACGTTACAACACTCCGCTACCAGTGCCCACGTTGAGTGTTCAGTGCGACATTGCTGCAAATAATATATCGGAATGCAATGTGACACCAAGAAATAAGTATGACTGTTTACAGGAAGGATATTACTACACTCTTTGCTCAGGTATGTATCGTCCAAAATGTAAAAATGATTCAATTCATATAATTTAGAGTAGATGCATTAAAAACTATCAAACACTATCAGCTATCACTAAAATATACAGAACTGTCTTTGTATATAAACAGTAATTGTTCAACGCAGTAGATGCGTTCTTCAAAAGTACCACATTTCGCGAAAATTGCTTTGAGCAAAAACAATCTGCCCATTAAAAATGTAACGATAAAGCGTGTTGAGATATGATGAATGCACGCACAGTGAGATGGACAGCCACCGAGTGTGCAGAAGGGAAGAGGTTGAAAGGTTGTGGAAGGTTCGAGAAGGAGGGCAGAGCTTGCAGAGTGGCGGGAGTTGTGGTGGGGACCGGGTATGAGAGTGGGGGGTGAGCAGGGAAGGTTCTGTAATCAAGGCGGGGTTAAGGAAACATAAAACAACGGGTAGAACGATGGTGTGGGTCACTGGGAGTCGGGTTTGCTGACTAAGAGTGATAGCTGGGGTAGTGGGTCTACCCACGGTGCAAGGATCAGTCTTGTAGGTTGAAAGGTTGTGGAAGGTTCGAGAAGGAGGGCAGAGCTTGCAGAGTGGCGGGAGTTGTGGTGGGGACCGGGTATGAGAGTGGGGGGTGAGCAGGGAAGGTTCTGTAATCAAGGCGGGGTTAAGGAAACATAAAACAACGGGTAGAACGATGGTGTGGGTCACTGGGAGTCGGGTTTGCTGACTAAGAGTGATAGCTGGGGTAGTGGGTCTACCCACGGTGCAAAGATCAGTATTGTTCCATTGTGTGAACCCTGAGAGACTGTGTGCCATCTGGACTCATTAAATAGACTATGGGGAGGGGAGGTGATTACACGTCAGCTTGGACGTACACACAGAGCGGCTGGGAGGGGAATTACGACTGCACTGTTATTGCAAAAAAGCTATGAAATTACTTAACATTATCATGTCTTGTCTATTTCAGCGAAAGGACTCCGTCTTGTGGGTGGAACAAATCGCTGTGAGGGCCGGGTGGCGATTTCGAGAAATGGTGTTTGGAATGAAATCTGTGATTCAACTGTCGACACTCAAGATGCAGACATGATTTGCCATCTGCTCGACTGCGGTTGGAGTGTAGCTCGTGGAATGATGTCGCAGTTTGGTGTTGGAGCTGGAACAATATTGCCTGATAATTTAGTTTGCTCGCCTTATCCGAATCAAATATTTGACTGCTTGCAGATTGGGACAAATAATTGCAGCCAACTTCAAACAGCAGCAATAATCTGCGAGGGTATGCTGTCCTTGATCTTACGTGATTTTTATCGTAAATAACTGGTAAACACTTTAGTTATTCAGTTTGGTTTCTGCTGCAGCAAGATCGTGATGTTCACCACATACAGCGAGTGTAGCGATCCACGGAATTGTCACAATTCACGGTTTGTGAGTCAACTCAATAATGCATTGTTTGGTCTCATGTTTGCAGCCACTTTTGCGCTGTTTGTTGTTTTCTCTCGTGTTAGTACAGCTACATTAACCTCATATAACACTAACTCTACAGCATTTAAAATGCATGATAACTTCCGTAATTTATAATGAATGACGCATTGCACTGCACTATTTTGCACCGTATTCTTGGTTCTTTCGGTAAAGTCACGAAGAATGGGGATAAAATAATAATAAAAATAAAATAAAAAAATAAAAATTATCACGACGTTTCGGAGGCAACACAAGCTTCCGTCTTCAGGTGGGACAGTCACAGCAAGATCGCTAATCAAGTGGGGAGGCTCTGAGAGCCTCGAGCTTAAATACAGGTTAAAGGGGGGGGGGAGGAGGGCGAGGCCAAGTGGGGGACATTAATAGGGTGTGGGGCTAAGTTAATCATTCTTTTGTTCTGTTGATGGTGCGGTACGTCCGGTGGGCCACTGCACGGGGGCAGTGGGAAAATTGTTGATGGTGTGGTACGTCCGGTGGGCCACTGCACGGGGGCAGTGGGAAAATTGTTGATGGTGTGGTACGTCCACACGTACCACACCATTCTGTTGACGGTGGTCCACCGTCAACAGAACAAAATAATGATCAACAGAACAAAATAATGATTAACTTAATTTCCCACTGCCCCCGTGCAGTGGCCCACTGGACGTACCGCACCATCAACAGAACAAAATAATGATTAACTTAGCCCCACACCCCATCAATGTCCCCCACTTGGCCGCGCCCTCCTTCCCCCCCCCCCTTTAACCTGTATTTAAGCTCGAGGCTCTCAGAGCCTCCCCACTTGATCAGCGATCTTGCTGTGACTGTCCCACCTAAATACGGAAGCTTGTGTTGCCTCCGAAACGTCGTGAGAATTTTGTTATTATTTTTTTATCCCCATTCTACGTGGTGACTTTGCCGAAAGAACCAAGAAGATGAATCCATGCAGTCACGAAAGCTTTAAATCGATATTTTGCACCAATTACCATGCGCCCTACCACTGAAACAAACTGCCCCTATACATGAAGCCACATCCTTAACCTCCTTTAATTGTTCTCTTATAGCTCAACTTTTCCCTATCACCCAATCCCTTGCTATTACATCCCCATTCCCTTCCACTTCGTCCCGTCCCTCCCCTGCACTTATGTGACCCTCACGTGCCCTCTGTTACGGCCACTCATTCCTCCGCCCTTGCACGCCCTAGCCATCTAAATCACTTTGTTGTTACCGCTTTTAAACGATGTAAAGCACATTGAGCTAAGGCGCTTAATAATTATAAGATACGATTCGAAATTATTGAAACCGTATGGTATCTAAATCGATATTCTTTTTTCCAATTCCGAATCAGAACCATCATTCTCTTTGGTTCTTTTGGTAAAGTCACGTAGGTACAAAATAAAATATATCACGACGTTTTGATCGCAACACAAGCAGTCGTCCTCAGGCGGAAAAAAATATAATCCAGCAGTGGAACTGCTGAACTAACGAGAGAGCAGCTACAACAAGGCTATATATGTAGCCTTGTTGTAGCTGCTCTTGGGTCTTCTGTTCCCCCTGGTCGGCGGACCCATGGAGACCGCTCCCAACGCCTGTCTCGGGAAGCTGACACCTGCCATCCTGCACACGTGTCCCATCGTTCGCAGCTGCAGCCCAAATCATACCCACGACACTCGCCTGCCATGCCCTCTTTATGGACGTCTGAATCGCTTCTGAATTGCTTATCCTTGTTTTGTCACGAATTTCCCTAGCAGCCTTCTCAGACACCGGTGCTCAATTGCCAACAACTTGTTTTCGAGCTGCTTAGTCACGGTCCAGCTCTCGGACCCGTACGCTAACCCGGAAGGCATTCCCGCCTCAATTATTGATTAGCAGTGGGGGTTTTGTGCAGAATGTGGCTTTTAGCTTTTAGACCGAAAAACCGCGACCATGCATTTGTTGTAAAAGTGTGAACACAAACTACATTGATGAGACCCATGAACTCTGCTGAATACAACCCTATTGACGTGGAGACGTAATTGGAACAAAATGTAAATATAATTATTAAAACACCTTCTTGCCCCTGCAATGCCTTTGCAGCCCATCATTTATCTATATTTGGCTGATTATCGGGTTAGGTTAAAGTGTATCTAATCTGGTCTGAGAATGATTTTTTGTGATAAATGTGATTCATTCACACATGTCATGACTTTTCAGCTTCAGGGACTGCAAACCCTCAAGTGATTGTCACCGAAACGGAAAGTAAGTCAAATAACATTTTTTATATTGAAATGTAAAGCTACACCTTGAGATATATAACTTGTTTAAAACACATCAGACAAACTGAATTTGTGCCTATGAATAAAATTAATAAACTATGTGTATACATGCCAATCCCTCTGATACTGATTATATTATAGCCTCACTGTTGCAACGTGTGATATTGTATTCTCCAGATGGAACAATTCGGCTTGTGGATCGTGAAATGAATTGCAGAGGCCGAGTAGAAATAAATAACAACGGCACCTGGGGCTCACTTTGTGACGCTGGCTGGACTTTAGGTGGTGCTGATGTTGTGTGCCGACAAATGCAATGTGGGAATGCTGTCGATAACCAGGCCTACTATGGCAAGGGCCCCAGCCCCAAGTGGACAGCCACGTGTGGGTCATTGGAAGATTCTCTCTTCAAGTGCACACTGACCGAAGGAAATCCAAACTCTTGCACTCGGATATCAGATGCCGGTGTTCAATGTACAGGTTTGCTATTTTGTACATTACTTTTTCCCCCAGTAACATATTTTTTTAAATGTCAGTGTTACATATTTGTTTACACGTTTAACAGTTCACAAAACCTCTTAAATAGGGCTTTTTTAAAATTTATGATGACGTAGAGTTGTGAGCAGGGCCGTCTATAGGGGAGTGCTGGGCCCAGGGAAAATCCCACTATGTGGGCCCCCCTGAGGTATTCAAACTAAACGACTAAATGGGAAGTATTACATCTGACATCGTGACGTCGATGCATGGGGCTCCCCAAAGCGTGGGGCCCGGCGCAGTCTCCTAGATTTGCCGTGCCCTAGAGACGGCCCAGTTTCTGGCCACAAGTTTTGTAGTTAATGCAGACATGAGTCCTTGTAAAAAAGTTTCAGTTTGGTGTTTTAACATCTTAACACCTGTATTGTTGCCAGAAAAAAGAGGAAAACCTATTGTCATATTTTGGTACTGGCAAGGGAGGTCCCATCAAATGGACATCTTATTGATTGGGTAATTACTAGGGTAATCAACATACATAGTGTGCAAGCACAATGCGCATTGCGCAGTACACATACATAATTTATGCACACCATGCGTGCACATCTGCTGTAGTAACTAATTGCCATGCGTTGTTCAAGTTATAAACGTTACTAATTAGCTATGTCGGGTGGAGGTGGGTGAACGACACATTTATATGTACGTGAGCTAACGGCAAAAATTGTATTGTAAACTGTTTCGGGTCTAACAGACTTGTGACAGAGATCACAGCTCCAGTCGTGCAGCATCTCCCACATGGTCTGTTTTGAAGCAGATCAACGCCTTCATCGTATCTTGACAGAACCACCTCATGCACCTAAATGCACCTGTAGTGTGTTATACGGAGGCACACACTTGAACTTGGAGGCAACACGTTTAATCTACAACCCCAACAGGGTACTACATAAACGTAACAACGGGATAATGATATAGGTGGTAAAACCACGGTTAACTGGACTACAACGGGGTAATGTACAAAACATGACTATTACATCGATTGACTTATTAATTTAAGGCAAAAAATAATTAACCTTTTGAGGAAGCTCATAAAAAAATATCTGCTGCATGTTGGAGTGCCTGGCGAGGCGATGTGGAGGCGTTGCTGCTGCACAGCAGGGACACCGTGACGCAGTCGCGGATCGGAATCAGAAAATGTTTTTAGACTGCAGGAAGCGTATGAGCTATGGAGCTCTTTTTCACAGATGTCCAGTAGCAGATGGATGAGGCAGCCTTTCGGGTAATGCTTCATGTTTGATGACCTTATGGCGCGTGCCGAAGTGAAATTTGTTTTCGTTAATCCAAAAGTGTCCATAGTTTGTCAATTACATTAACGCGAGATTTTGTCAAACAGAACGTGAGTCAAGGGATGCACCTCGACTCCAGGGACTCGCCTCTTCTCCCCCCAATTCCTTCCATCCCGTCGTCTCAACTCACTCGAGAGCTGAAGCCTTTCACTCCTCATGATTTCCCCTATAAACTGATTTGAGAAATCCAATAATCTCTTTAAAACATTCTGCGCCACATATCCTCCCCTTGTGTACAGCATCTTGGCATGCAGTCACGATTTTAATGTTTTTTTATTTGGCTATGTTTAACTTAATTTTCCTTTTTAGTGGCTGTCTTAATCCAATTTGTTAAAATTCATATTTAATCAAACTTGATTTGATGCTTTCGTGACTGCAGGAATTACTCTTTGGCTCTTTCGGTAAAGTCATGTATTTAATGTAAATGTTTTTCCATTACCGAATATTTCCTAATCTAGTCCCTGTCCTTACCAAAAATTGGATTATAAATCGTGTACATTAAACAATAATTATTAAGCGACATTCACCTTTTGACTTTGCCTTATTCACATTTTTACTAAATTGCTAAAGTTATATATGCGAAACTTAAACGTTTACCGGTTTATTCTGATTTGTTACACGGATGATATTCCCGTGTAGCTAGTTGCCTTGCTATTATACACGGAGGGTCCGTGGTGGCGTGTGGCTCAGCAACAACACAAACAAGACATATTCTTTGGTTATTTCGGTAAAGTCACGTGACTTTAACAAAATAACCGAAGAATATGAATTCCTGCAGTCATGAAAGTTTTAAGACAAACAAGACAATTCAACATTGCAGAGAACGAGACCAGCAGCAGGGCCCTTGAGGGATACAGCACAACTAACAAACGAGGTGTTTAACGGTCGTATATAAAACACGCGAATGAAAATCAAACTGTGCAAATGTACTACGAGATCAAGAGGAGCCAGGGAGAGTTTGGTACAGGCGGAAGTAAAATATTGTGTAACTAAACTGTCTCCAGGGTGGTAAAATAGGCAATTATATTGCATGTGTCTCTATGGGTTGATTACATCTCCTAGTTAGAGAAATTAAAAAGAATTAAATTTAAGATACTCATTCTTTTCTCTGACTGAATGATACTGACTAGCACGTTCAGAGGTTGTATAGACCCAGACTTTATTGTAATTTCAAAGACATTCTCTTTCATATCCAACAGGTGCAGGACTGCGTCTCGTGAGTGGAAGGAACCGCTGCGAGGGACGGGTAGAAGTCCTCAAGAGCTCTGTGTGGAGCGGAGTGTGCAGCTCCGCGTTGGACACTCACGGCGCAGATACGATCTGCCGTCTTCTGGGCTGTGGGTGGAGTTTGTCTCACGGGAGCTTGACCCAGTTTATGAATACGTCCGCGAGAGTCCTCTCGGACAACGTAGCGTGCGCAGCATTCCCAAACACTATATTTGACTGCCTTCAAACAGGGACACAAAATTGCAGCAATATGGAAACTGCCGCCGTAATTTGCGAAGGTGAGAACCAAACGCACTCAAATGAAAATAAAACAAACAAATTTAGCAATGGACATTCATTTGTTTCCTCCCTTAACACCTTACATCTTTCTTCAAAAATATCCTGAAGCAGAAAATTGTTGCTGGATACAACCACATTTGTGAATGAGATTTGTAACTTTGATCCTTACCCGTCCATCGATAGCTCAATGTAAATGTGCAATATAATTGAGGGACTACTGTGTGTTGTCTTGGTGTCGCCTGGGACTGCTGTTGTTCTTTTTGTGCCTTGCCCCAAGCTTGCATTTAGTATTTCAAAATCGGCAGGAATTGAAGTACTTACGTAGTTTATACTTTATTATAATTTTTTTGTGACTTGTTTAGCTTTCCTATACTTTGCACTCCCATCAGTTTATTTTATATTGTTATTGATGTAACTTGCTGACCCGCCCCTACTGGACATCTGTGAGAAAGCGCTTCATAGCTCATCAGATTCCTTCAATATACATAACGATTCTGAAATAAACATTGTTACGTAACTCTTGAAAAAGATGATCGTATTTACTCATTGACAAAAACAGATAGTCACAAGATAGCCGGTCTAAATCTGTCATATGTGAGAAGGCCGCTGCTAACACCTTGCTATAGATTACACAGCAAGCTGGTCCGTGGTTGCCGTGTGCTCTATAGGGACCACTGGCCCTGGAGGGTCCCCTTCAAATGTTTAAGATGAGATGTGGTGATGAAAGCTCCGTTGAGTTATCGATGCATTCATTTATGCTCTTCTTGCCTATCAGCAAAAAGATCCTGGGTTCGAATCTCAACTTGGGTGCCTTCTTGTGTGGAGATTGCATGTTCTCCCTCTGTTCTGCATGGGCTTCTCTGGTTTTCTCCCACAGCTAACAAAGCACAATGTCACTGATTTTGGGTGACCATGTTTATATGAATAGGTGTTTTGGAATAACCCTTTTAGAACTCAACATAATTACGATATTACATGGTGGTGTCTACACGTACATATTAATTCTCACACACGTGTTATGCTTCTTCGGCAGCTGCTGAACCTACAAGCCCACAATTGATCATAACTGCAAGTATAGGTAAGTAATTTACTCTCAAATAAATAGCCACTTTTGAGCATTTTTTTACCATGCCACGAACATTATGATTTAAATTACAAATCCGTACCTTACTATATTTTTTTACAAATTGATAACGCAGTTAATCACCAGATTATTAGATGTGTGTGCTTTGTGGTCAGCGGTCTATCGGCCTGGAACACAACTACCTACTCACTCACCTACTCACCCACTTACCTACTCACCCACTCGCTCACCCAGGCACCCACTCACCCACTCAGTTGTCCATCGGCCTTGAACTCGCATGCCGACTCACTTACTCACCCACCCACTCATCTACTCACCCACTCACCTACTCACCCATCCACTCACCCACTGACCCACTTCACTCACTTGCTCAGCAGTCCATCAGCCTGGAACACAACTACCCACACTCTCACCTACCCACCCAATCACTCACCTATTCACTCTACCACTCACTCACCTACTCACCCACCCACTCACCTACTCAGCGGTCCATCGGTCTGGAACTCACTTACTCACTCGTTCATCTACTCACCCATACACTCACCTACTCACACACCCACTCACCTACTTAGTGGTCTGTCGGCCTGGAACTGCGCGATGTTCGAGACTCTTTACAGACATTTATCCAGTTCAGTAGAAAATGCAATACACAATTGTTGAGTAGAGCTTACAATGTATGCATTTTGCACTCTTTTAATAACCTAGGCAATAAGAGTTGCGCGTTTATAAATGTACTTACTAAATTAAGTAATGCCAATCATAATTACCGGTGTTCTTCACAACATACGTATACCACTATTTTTATGCCTGTAAAAGGGAATCCACATGAGTCGTCCTAGTAAGGGAACTACTTTGTTCCATTCAACATGAACACGATCCCCGTGTATCCTTAACGGACTGTTGGGGCAAGTGCTGTTAGCGAGCAGCGCCGATTAAGGCTGGGACGGCACACTAGGGGGTCGGTGGCCAGCACCATGCCCGGCCGCCTTTGTCTCCCTAGTGGCGATGTTTACTACACACTGCACCAGATATTCATTTTAGTCTGAATCGACCTATGGGAGGCCCACGACCAGTTTAGATAATCGCCACTCGTGTTGGTGGTGATGATGGTAGTTGTGGTGATTTGTAGTGATGGTGAAGGTGCTGATGGTGGTGTTGATGGTGATGGTGGAAATCCCTCAGCAAAGGGAGAATGACCCTGTTGAGGCTGCGGTGCCTTAAATATGGAATAAGTAGTCACACCCTGTTAGTGGCTGGCTGAAGTGCTATCTGTTGAGGACGTACGGAAGGCGATCAAGCATCTGAGACCAGGAAAAGCGCTAGGCAGAGATGATCTTCCAAGCGGATTGCTGAGGGAGGGTGGCGTTTGTGTGCAGACTGCCCTATATGACATCATTATAACTGTCTGAACCACTGGACCAGTTCTGCAGGAATTGGAAGGTTGCCCTGGTGGTCATCCCTAGTTAAGAAGGGGGACCGTACAGAGTGTAACACCCACAGGATAATCTTCCTCCTCAGTTCGCCTGGAAAGGTCCTGAGCAATGGTTATATACAGTAGTATCGCCTTGCTAGGCACGCTGAGGAGGGACTTGCAAAGCCCCAATGTGGTTTCAGACAAGGCGGGTTCTGCTCCATATTTTCTGTCCGTCTGCTATAGCAGAGGTGTAGGGAATTCCAACAGGACCTACATCTCTGCTTTATTGACCTGGACAAGGCCTATACTACCATCAATAGGCATGGGCTCTGTTTTTTCTTAGTGCCTTTTGGAGTCCCTGACTGTATGCTCACAAACATTAAGGACCTTCATGATAGTGGGCAGGCCTGGGTAAAGCTAAGTGCCTGGGAGTCAAGGCCATTCCCTGATCACCTTGTGGTGCGACAGGGATGTCCTCTGGCTCCTATATTATTTAACATCTTATTCCACCACGTAGTTCTAGAAGCCTTCATCTGGTACAAATACAATGGAAGGCTTATCGATGCTCAGGTGCGGTCAATGAATGGCTCTCTGTTGGTCAACCATGTCATGTATGCTGATGATCAGGTGATTGCTGCTCACTCAGAGAAGGAGTTGGAAGCGGTGATGGTGGCGGTGGTGATGGTGTTGGTAGCTATGGTAGTATGGAAGGTGGTGATGGTGGTAGTAATTGTGGTGCTGGTGGTGATGGCTGTGAGTGGGAATCAAATTCAACCACGTACCCCCTGTATAACGTGATCCCCCTTTACTAATTACCCATTGGTGTTCTTAGCTAGGCGTGTTCATGTTCTACGTAATATTTTTCCAAGTGCAATGCCCATGCAGCTCACAGACTTAAATACCTCTGGCCAGTTGCATACAACTACTTAAATAATTCAACATATTTGCCACCCTTCTCCATGTTGGTCAGTGCAGGTTGATGAAACTCACCTAATGTCCATTATTACCCTAGTTTTACCTCTAGTTTTATTTGCCTATGCTTGCTATTAATGCATCCTCTTCAACCGTTAAATCTTCACGAGGGCCTGTGTAGTGTTCATTTTTTTATTTCGTTTTTGTTAGATGAAACATTACAATTTTGTTCATAATTCTTTGGTTTAATTATGCTATGACAAAAACGTATGATAACGATACTAAATTAGACGATACTGGAGGTGGTCTACCGTTTATAATTGTGATAATGTAAATTGTTACAATAATTATGCTCTGCAGTCTATATGGACGAACTCTGTCTTTATGTCTCGTTTATGGTCTCAAATGTTTCAATATCGAGCCTGGCTCATGCACATTTTCTGGCATCTAATATGTATGTAATTTGACGGCTTCTGGTCATTATGAACATTGTACAACTAACCTGCTTCCGTTCCTCCCTTACAACCCATCTCTTCTCCCGAGCCCAACTTGCTACTGCTACTCCCAGCTCTCTCCCCTATCACAATCCCAACCCCTATCATTACCACAAGCCCTATCACTACCTCACTACCTTTACCTCAACACCTCCTTAATGACTCCCACCTGCCCACATAGTTACACCACCACTTTTAATAACCGCACTCGTTATTTTAACCTCTATCATCTGATGTGCAATTTTATAATTGTTGTAAAGCGCCTTGGACTAAGGCAATATATTAATCTATATCAGATAAGGAATATATGGGCATATGCATACAACACCTATAGAGTACCCGTAATATCTAGTATTATATTATGTTAGGTATACTTCATATGGATTATTATGCTCTCAAATCCTCTCGTTGTTTTCCAGATGGAACAATTCAGCTGGTGGATCGAGACGTGATGTGCCAGGGAAAGGTGGAAATCTACAATAACGGTTCTGCGAGCACTCTCTGCAGAGACAGTTGGGATGAGAACCAAAGTGAGATTGTGTGCCAGCAGTTGAATTGTGGCAGCAGTGCACAGTTTGCCTACTACGGGAACGAGCAATATTACTTTGGCATTGGCCGGGGGACTTCACAGAATGCCCGGTGTGGAGGCACAGAGCAAGCGCTCACCGATTGCACGCTGTCTCCGGAAAACTCCTTCACGTGTACCAACAAGGGGCCGGCCGGCGTTGTGTGTACCGGTACGAGCACTCACTCCTCATATAGAGGCGCCGCGGTGACGCGCTGTTATCTCGCTTGCCTGGTATGCAGGAGGCCTGTGGGTTCGAGCCAGACCCTGACGATGCCTGTTATATATTTGGAGCTCGTGTGTTCTCTCTCTCTCTCTCTAACCCCGTGGGGGTCACGTGGATTATTCTCAAATGTGCATGCAGTTTTTCCCTCGCACGATAAACCACTTTGTTGAGCTATCATTTGTGGCCACGTCGATTATGAGACAGAGCTAATAGCTCAGTGGGATTTTCCCTGGTAAAAAAATAATTATTATTTAATGATTAAGTTTCATGCAACAAAGACAAAGAGTCAATCAACAACCAAGGTTTATAGCCTTAACACACTGTAGAAGCGAGTGCTGTTAGCAATTACTTATCAAAATCAGAATCTTAATTTAGACAGGAGAAGGAGGAATCCGATGAGCTATTAAGCTCTTTGTCACATATGTCCAGTAGGGGCGGGTCAGCAAGTTACATCAATAACAATACAAAATAAACCGATAGAAGTGAAAAATAGAGAAAAGTCAAGCGAGTCACGAAAAATGAATAAATAAAAAAGAGTACAGAAGTACATCAATTATTGCTCATTTTCTTTGGTTCTTTAGGTAAAGTCACGTGGAATTAGAATAAAATAATAAAATAAAACAACGATAATTTTATTGATTTATTTTATTATTTTATTCTCATTCTACGTGGCTTTACCGAAAGAACCAAAGAAGATGAATTATTGCAGTCACGAAAGCTCTAAATCGAAAAACATTGCTCATTTGTCAACACTAAATGCAAGCGTGGGCAAGGCAGCAAAATGACAACAAAGACCACACCAAGACAACACATCGTCCCTCAATTACATTGTACATTACAATTAAACTATCGACAGAACTTATGAAGGCCTACGGCATACGAGGGGGTGGGTGGCCAGCACCACGCCGGGCAGCCTTTATCTCCCCAGTGGCGATGTTTACGCACAGCACCAGGTACTAATTTGAGACTAAGTCGATCTAGAGGAGCCCCAGGACCGGTTCAGATAATCATCACTGCTGTTGAATCGAAGCTGGTTTCACCACTCTCTGCATTCCTCATTCAACGACAACTTTCGCCAGTAAGTGGCAGTGACATCACAACAAGGCCTGTGCAAACCCAAGTGGTATTTGAGGCTACTTGAAGTGTCGAAGGCTCGCTGGCAGAAGATGACGGAAAAGACCGAGGTGCCATGGGTTTACCGACTTGTATGACTGGCAAATGCACCACAAGTGCCCCCTACTGTGCAAATTTTCTGTGTTTTAGCTGCCTGGCGCTCCGCTCATTGTTGTGAGCGTCGCTCCTCTGCCCTCTGCTGTTCTTAGTGGGCAGCTGCCTCTAACTGGCCAGTAGCGTCTTTCACCAACCTCCTCATCCACAGACACCAATATTGACACTGCTGGAACCAGTCATCGGCAAGTCCACTCAGCTCAATATCCTCATGTACCACATCAGTACATCTCTTCTAAAGCCGGTGCCGCGCCCAATTAGCTCCCTCTATCTGGCCAAACAAAAGCAGTTCGGGCATGAAGTGGTTGGGCATGCGGGCTACATGATCCACCCAACGAAGCCTTGCCTGCCGGAGGAGCTCACCGATGGTACATTGTCCAGATATTTCAATCGTTTGTGAGCTTCTCACACAATCCAGCCTGGTTAAACCCAGGATGGATCATAGGCAGGCCAGCCTAAATGTTTCTAACCAGCGCAGATGTCCCATTATGGGGGTCCACGTTTTGCAAGCATAGAGAAGGGAGGGCATGCCTGCAGCCGAGAAGAACCAAAGTTTTGAGTGGAGTGACAGACCAGCTCGCTTCTACATAGCATTATGAAGTGAATGAAAATATAATGCCGCTCAACTGATGCGGAGTGAGACCACTGCTGTCAACCCGGAGCTGATTATAAGCACACTGCCCAGGTGTGGAAACTTATCCACACTTGAAGCTTCGTATTTTTGTGGTATTTAGAGGCCTCCCTGAAAATGCGAGGCCCTATAGCTTACTTAGCTTAGGCCTAAATCCATCCCTGCCTGTAACTATTCAATCGGTTCACCGAGCAAAGGAAGAATGTAATCAATTCAGGAATATCCACGCTCAACAATAGCAGGCTTCCGACAGTTCTAAGAGGAGGCTTTAAAGAGAAGGAGAGATACAGTCGACCCTTCTGCATCGCGACTTTCCCATCGTGGTCACGGTGTATCGCGGGGTCGGCATAATAAATTAAATGGGAATTATTTGGGAGTTTTTGGGAGTTTTGCGAAAGCCGCAGACGACACGCGAAGGCCAGCAGACGACACACAAAAAGTTTAGTAACTCATAAATGCATAAAATATATGTACAGTACTGTATTAATGTATTTTATTTCACAGTGCGGGTGCCTGCTCCCCTAACTCCGGCAGGAGGTGCATCAGCAGCCAGTCATCTCAGTCACTCAACCCATGACACCTGGGTTCTGTCCCGTAATCTCGTGCTGCACCTAGCCTGGCACAGCAGTCAACCCATGACACCCGGTTTCGGCACTTCACATGGGCTCAAAGTGCACGTAGCCTGGCACAAGCCCTGTGCTGACGTCACTGACACTTGGTGGCGAATGGCGGTTCTTATTGTTGGCGTTTGCAATGTTTAATGCTCACGTTTCACGGTTACTTTCATTTTGATCTGCAGCTGCAGGGCTCCGTCTGGTTGGAGGTGCCAATCGCTGTGAGGGCCGCATGGAAGTCTACAAGAATGGCGTTTGGGGAGAGCTCTGCAGCTCCACTCTGAACAGAGACATCGCAGATGGCATTTGCCATCTGCTGGGCTGTGGCTGGAGTCTTGCTTATGGTAGTAACGTGTCGACATTTGGACTCGGACAGGGAACCATCTTCCCAGACAACCTATCCTCCATTACTGGCAACATATTTTCAAGTCTCCAGTATGGAACAAACAATTGTAGCTATGACCAGACAGCTGCCATCATTTGTGAAGGTAAGTAAACATGAATGGTTTTAACCTCCCCCACAATTCCCACACCTCTGCTCTACTTTCCGTCTGTCTCCTATCGCTATGTTTATATTTCTCAATCTAAGTATATAAATCCCTTCATGGCTTCGCTCCACAACCATATCTTGCTTTTCTCGTCTCTTAATACTCTATTCCATCCCGTCCTCTATGCTCCCAGTCTCTACCGTCCCTCTCTGCACCTCCATAGTGACCCTGCGCTCAGTCTCACTCTCTCGTTTCTGTTCCCTTCTCTGGAACCAGCTCCCAATGCAATCATAAAGCAATCATATTCACCACAACAACAACAACAAACTGCATCTTCCATTCCTCCCTTAGAACAGTCGCCATCTCTTCTCCCATAGTCCAGCATAATCCTGCTACTACTACTCCCTGACCCCACCCCCAGCGACGACCAGGCCTACCCCAACTGCTCCCCCTATCACTAAGCCAACCCCTATCCCTTCCCCTACCGCTTCCTTTATCACTACCCCAACCCCTATCAGTACACCAACCCCTATCACTACCCCTATCACTACCTCGACCCTATCACTAACCTAACCCCTATCACTATCCCTAGCTCTACCCCAAACCCCCCTTAACCACTTCCACTTGTCCTCCTAACTGCCAACATAACTACACCACCACTTTTAATAACCGCAATCTTTATTTTAACGTATCTTATGTACAATTTAATCATTGTTATTTTGAGACACATAGAGACCCGTCAAGATACAGAGAGTGTGAGTGTTGAGTTTGTTACACGGATGATGATCTCGTGCATCCAGTTACCCAGCTATTATACACGGGAGATCCGTGGTCCTGTGAGCACTGCAACAAAGATAAGGAAACCAAATATTTTAGAGAACCAGTACAGCCGGAGCCTCAAGGAATATTGCGCAACTAACAAACGAGCGTCCGCGTGACATATCTCAGAGGCTTTGTGATATCTGTTTCCGTGGACCATTCCATAAAACACAGGGGATGCATGCATTTAATTAGTGGTTGGCTTTTGGGAGGAAACCAGGACACAGAGGAACTCCACCGTGTAATACGAGGGCATGACACTCAAAGGTCCAGACAGAGAGATTCAAGAATCCATTGCTGTGCTTCCATCTCTTGGCCAGCTCTCAGCCTGCCCTAAATTCTCCAATTCCAGCCATCGCCAAGCAGTCTCCTATTCCGAGTAGAAGTGTATCCCTCGATTTACGAAAGTTCGCTTTTAAAATATTGCATTCACGCAATTGACAAATTATGAACACTTTTCGATGAACGAAATCGAATTTCCGTGTCACCAAGATTTCACTTGGACATGCGCATTGAGATCATCAAACAAGAAGCACCACGCACCCGCTACTGGACATCTGTGAAAAGAGCTTCATAGCTCATCAGATTCCTTCAGTCTAAATACATATTCTAATTTTGATCCGTGATAGTATCATGGTACTATCACGGATCAATAGTGCATCATTAACACCTCCATCACTTTTCCAGTGATTCCAACATGCAGCAGATCTATTGGTGAGTTCCCTGACAAGGTTAATTATGTTTGTTTTAAACCATTAAAATATTTATGTTGTTTATTTTTGTATTATGAAAAGTGATAGGTATATCATTTTAGGTCAGAAGTAGAGTTGGAATGACTGTCCGAAACGCATTTCTCATTTTTACTATTAAATTAATGAGAAAAGCTGTTCTGATTTACAGAATTTCGTTTTGCGTGCGTTTCTTTAAGAAATAATCCCTTTTGTAAATCGAGGGGGTACCTAGGCTCAGCCCTGGCACTGCACATTGATAATCTGATATCTGGATGGATAGAGGTATCCTTATCGGGGATCACAGGTGAAAGTGCAGTTCCAGGAATAAAAAAAACTTAGTCAAGGGACGTTCAGGATGTTGGATTTGTGGTTAGGTAACTGTGGAGTTGAATCAACATCCGAGAAGATGGTGATGGCTTGAGGAGCCCTTCATCAAGCAGTGGATAGATTACGATTGATTATTGTATCATGATGAATTGATATCCAGTCATATGCTGTATGATAGTGACTGTATAAAAACATTTCATTTGTATGGTGCATTCTAATAACGTTTTATAAAATATGTTCTCTTCATCAGCTGCTGGGACTGCCAACCATTCTTTGTTTGTAACTGGATCAACAAGTAAGTCACCTGAAAAAGAAATGTTCTTGTTCCATGAAAAGTTTCTAAAAACTGTAATTCGAGCCATGTTATATTGCATTAATACTGCAGGGCTTGTACACACTACTGTTGCCTCCTCGTTTAATGCAGTTAATACATGTGTAACGACATAAATGAGCCATTCTATGGCAATAGTGGGTGGACTATAACATAAGGGCTCACTGGAGGGCAGATTCCGGATGTCACGGAGATTGGGTCAGGACATGGCAGTCTGGGCGAACGCGCGAGATCGCGTCACCAGACAAGGGGGCATGGGGACCCCCAGAACGGGGCGATCGGGCCACGTTATGTAGATCCAGAGCTGCCGCGAAGGATCGAGAAGGGGACGTGACCAGGGGCGGAGCCCGGTCACGCCTCAGGCGATATAAGCCGAGTCCCGAGAGGGAACGTGGCTCACAATCTAAGGTCTGCGAATTCAAACCTTGGTTGGGGATTGACTCAGCCAATCATCCCTCTAGGGTGGATATAATAGAGTACCCCAATGTGTGGAATGAATGGTTGTGACAAGGATACACCCCCCCCCCCCCCCCAAAGTAAATGTGCAATTTCCACCACTGGCTCAGGACTCTAAACACATGAGTGCTGCCCCAAAGCTCATTTGAGGAAAGAATTGTGTCGACTCCTTAATGATTCTCGGTTTTACCATGGACTCGTGTTCTATATTTCAGATGGAAGAGTGCGTCTGGTGGACCGTGAATTGGAATGCCAGGGCCGCGTGGAGGTGTTTCACAATGGCTCCTGGGGCACGTTGTGTGGCTCCAGCTGGGATGTGTGTGGCGAGTTGCAATGTGGAAGTCTCGCGAGTGCCATCACGCACCATGGCTTATTGCAGCGTCCAACATGGAACGCCTATTGCAGTGGCATGGAGCAGAGTCTTGCCGACTGCAACCTGATGCCAGGAAACAAGTATCAGTGTGCACATAGTGGATATGCTGGCGTCGTTTGTTCAGGTAAACAGGAATTACATGTTTTATTAATCTCGAGTTCTCTGCTCAGGGGCAGGTCTCTTCAGAATCTTTATTCAGATTGGAGGAATAATCCAATGATCTATGAAGCTCTTTTTCACAAATGTCCAATAGACATCTTAATTCAATCTCTGTCCATTCATCCTCTATCCATGCCCCCCTCTCAATACCTTTGCTACGGAGTTTTGAGTCAACTGATGAGGGTTCCTATATGGAAATAAACCGCAGCATCAGGATGAAGCCCACTCGTGGAATGCTGAACTTCTTATGACAATAATCCCTCTGTGGGCCTCCCAACGCCTTCAGGCTAAACCGGAACTATTACATCTAACACCATGATGTCGAAGCGTGCGGAGCACCCCTGCCAGATGCAGTCGCCCCAGTGATTCGCTGTACCCTAGGGACGGCTCTGCCTCAATATCCGTTGTGCAGTAATTTGGCAAAAACGTCCCCTGTTCTATGCGGCTTTGACCTCGTGCAGTTCCTCCATCTCCCCCATTTGCTACATGGATGATGATCCCGTGCAACCAGTTGCATTTACCTCTCAAATTTCTTCTGGCCTACTCCATGCAATACAGCACATGTTAAACTTTATTTGATTTCCTACACGAATGATGGTCCCGTTTAGCCAGTTACCTGGCTATTTTACACAGGCTCATAGAGATACAGAGACACATACAGACCCATAGAGATGCATAGAGTAGCAATAATTTCACATGTAGTTGAAAAAATACAGGAGCAATTGGAACATTTTTAAGAAATCCGATATCCCGCCCAGATGGAAAAGACTGAGATTAGTCCACAAGTGCACTGTCGCCTTGTTCTCGTGAACAAAAGTATGGCAGTTCAATAAAATAGAAATATTTTTCATTTTACCAAGTAAGGCCCACTCGGCTATATATCCCTTTTTCAGAAGCGACCTGACCACAAATGAAAGTCCAACAAAGTGGCTTATCATGTGGACATTTATTGCAGCAAAATACTCTAAAGAGATGTTTCTAATGTGGAGGGAAACACCGGAGGACCCAGCGAAAAATCCACGCGACCACGGGGAGAGAGACATGCAAACTCCAAATATATAGCAGATGTCAGTGTGGGAATCGAACCCACGACCTCCTGAAGACCAGACAAGATAGTTAACATCTCGCCACGTGGTGTGATCCACCAACTCAGAAATACGAGGATGAATTACAGGCCACCTGCACAGCCTTAACAGACTGTGCAGCACCCATTAAGGCCGGCATGGCACACGAGGGGGTGGGTGGCCAGCACCATGCCCGGCCGCCTTTGTCTACCCAGTGGCGATGTTTACGCACAGCACCAGGTACTAATTTAAGGCTAAGTCGACGTAGCGGAGACCCGGGACCAGTTAAAATAATCGTCGCTGCTGTTGGTGGCCGTGAGCGGGAATTTAAGTCGAGTCGCCAGGTTCGTAGTGCAGTGCGCAAAGCACAGTAATGGCACACACACACACACCCCTGTTGCTTCTTATTTTAATTCATCCAAACGTTTCCTCTGCGGGTTTCTATGGCCTGATTAAAAGTATTGTCATCACAGCAAGATGCAGTATTTTTAACTACAGTGTGTAACAATTTATTTTATTGGGGCTGGATTTTAGGCAAATTAAGTTTCAAAATCAAATTTGAACGCAATGTGCTTTTTTGTTGTTGTGGACAGACGAACAACTTACTGCACTTGAGAAGCTAGGCTCCAAGTCTCTACCGTCCCTGTCTCGCTCTGCACCCAGTCTCACTCTCTCGCTCCTGTTCCCTTCTTGCTCTCCTTTACTGGAGCCAGCTCCCATTTCAGCCATAAAGCAACCTGCAGCTTCCGTTTCCCCTTTAAAACACCCCCATCTCTTCTCCCCTGCCCCCAACCCCAGCTACTACCAGGGCTACCCCAACCCCTATCACTACACCTAATCCTTCCCCTATCACTACCCAATACCTACCCAACCCCTATTACTACCCCAACCCCTATTACTACCCCAAACCCTATCACTACCCCTAATCCTACCACTACCCAATACCTACCCAACCCCTATTACTACCCCAAACCCTAACACTACCCCTGTCAGTACCCCTTTCACTACCCCAACCCCTATCACTACGCAACCCCTATCACCACCCATATCCCTATCACTACCCCAACCCCTCCTTTACCACTCCCACCTGCCTCCTGACTGCTGTGTTAGTGCATCATGGATCTGCCGTGCAAAGTAGCCGGGCAACTGGTGACACGGCACCATTATCCGTGTAACAAATCAAATAAACTCAACACTCAAAGTTAGATGTTTCGTCTCTATCTCTCACACACATTCAGGCATCTGAATCATCAGCCAGGCCGTGTTGAGAGCAGAGTTAAACCCAACAGCTCTCTCTCTCTCTCCATTGCAGATGTTGTAACAACCGTTGTGTTTCTTACAGCTGCTGGCGTTCGACTTCTGGGAGGCAACAGCAGCTGTGAGGGTTTGTTGGAGGTCTACAGGAACGGAGTCTGGGCCGGGCTTTGTAGCTCAGTGCTGGATTACCAAGACGCCGATGTGATCTGCAGGTTTCTCCACTGCGGAAAAGCATCGTTCGTTGGAAACACAACCGAGTTTGGCCTCGGATCCACTTCTGTTCTTTCACAAAGCATTGCTTGCGTTAAAACTGCAACTTCCATCGGAAATTGCAGTTGGGTTGACTCGGTACCGTGTCATTATACACAAGCGGCCTCTGTGATTTGTGCAGGTTAGCGGCGTGAGAATATGCACCACTGATTACATACACACACACGGGACTTGCTACCGATTATGTAATATTAAATAATATTATTGGGCTCCGCGGTTGCGAGATGTTATATCCTTTCCTGGTATGCAGGAGGTTGTGGTTTCGATCCCGAACCTGGCGATGCCTGTATATTTAGAAGTTGCGTGTTCTCTCTCTGTCCCCATGGTCACGTGGATTTTTCTCCGGGTCCTCTGGTTTTCCCCTCCGCATTTAGAATCAAGATGCGTTTAGAATATTTGGCTGATATAAATTTCCACGTGATGAGCTACTTCGTTGGGCTATGATTTGTGGTCTGGTCGCATCTGAAAAAATGCTATTTAGCACAGTGGGCTTTACCGGCTAAAGTAACAAATAGTATGATCGCGTTAATAGTATCTAAATCGTATGACACGATGTGACAGTGGATACTATAGTGATTTTAAAAAGTCAGAAAATAATACAGGTGTGACTCACGAATTGAGAGTTTATGCAGACATCCGATGAACACCACCGGTCAGTACCTGCACCTCAGATGAGCACGATTGGCTACGTATGGTGTTCAACATAATGCAAATATACATACAGACGGGCAATGTTTCTATGTAATAAAAGCACAATTTGAATAAAGTTCGTATTTGCTTCTGCACACATTTGAGATTATTTATCGGATGTATTTATACATTATTGTTTTTAATGATTATAAACTATGCTTTGCATTTCTCTCTTTCAAGTTCCTGTGGAGAAAACAATAGTCTTTTCAGGATATGATGGAGTCATATTGTCTAACAATTTTACCATGGATGACAAGTCCCTGACCTATACATTTGTAATACAATCCAGATCTCCAAATGCAATAAAAATAAAGATTGAGAACATAAGGTAAGAAAATATTGCGTTGTCAAAACTTTAAAAATACACACCTCCACACTTCAATGCGCTATACACAGTAGGATTCATCTCGTTCATAGGCGAATTAATAATTTCAGGAGTTTTGCCCATGGAGAATTTAGGAGTTTCTGCAACCCATGGGGCATCGCGAATTTAAGGATTCGCGGATTGAGGAGTTTCACTTTAAAGTAAATTTCCGTTTAGCGGGTGGCGTCCACACTATGCGTTTTCTTTTTAACATGGTTTTTCTTTTGTGAAAAGTTTTTCACTTAACGCAGGCCACACCCGCTACAACCCAAGTCGAGTGCGTGACTAACTGTAACGCGAGTTGACCACGTGACGGACTACTCACTACAGCGTGAGTCTAGCACGTGACGGACTACTCACTATAACGTGAGTCTAGCACGTGATGGACGACTCGCTACGACGCGAGTCTAGCACGTGACGGACTACTCACTACAACGTGAGTCTAGCACGTGATGGACTACTCACTATAACGTGAGTCTAGCACGTGACAGACTACTCACTATAACGTGAGTCTAGCACGTGACAGACTACTCACTATAACGTGAGTCTAGCACGTGATGGACTACTCACTATAACGTGAGTCTAGCACGTGATGGACTACTCACTATAACGTGAGTCTAGCACGTGACAGACTACTCACTATAACGTGAGTCTAGCACGTGATGGACTACTCACTATAACGTGAGTCGAGCGTGTGACGGACTACTCACTAGAACGTGAGTCTAGCACGTGACGTACTACTCACTATAACGTGAGTCTAGTGTCTGACAGACTACTCACTACAACGTGAGTCTAGCACGTGATGGACTACTCACTATAACGTGAGTCAAGCGTGTGACGGACTACTCACTAGAACGTGAGTCTAGCACGTGACAGACTACTCACTACAACGTGAGTCTAGCACGTGACGTACTACTCACTATAACGTGAGTCTAGCACGTGACAGACTACTCACTATAACGTGAGTCTAGCACGTGATGGACTACTCACTATAACGTGAGTCGAGCGTGTGACGGACTACTCACTAGAACGTGAGTCTAGCACGTGACGGACTACTCACTAGAACGTGAGTCTAGCACGTGACGAACTACTCACTACAACGTGAGTCTAGCACGTGACGGACTACTCACTATAACGTGAGTCTAGCACGTGACGGACTACTCACTACAACGTGAGTCTAGCACGTGACGGACTACTCACTACAACGTGAGTCTAGCACGTGACAGACTACTCACTACAACGTGAGTCTAGCACGTGACAGACTACTCACTATGACGTGAGTCTAGCACGTGACGGACTACTCACTATAACGTGAGTCTAGCACGTGACGGACTACTCACTATAACGTGAGTCTAGCACGTGACGGACTACTCACTATAACGTGAGTCTAGCACGTGACAGACTACTCACTACAACGTGAGTCTAGCACGTGACGGACAACTCACTACGACGTGAGTCTAGCACGTGACGGACAACTCACTATGACGTGAGTCTAGCACGTGACAGACTACTCACTATAACGTGAGTCTAGCACGTGACAGACTACTCACTACAACGTGAGTCTAGCACGTGATGGACTACTCACTACAACGTGAGTCTAGCACGTGACAGACTACTCACTATAACGTGAGTCTAGCACGTGATGGACTACTCACTACAACGTGAGTCTAGCACGTGACGGACTACTCACTACAACGTGAGTCTAGCACGTGATGGACTCCTCACTATAACGTGAGTCTAGCACGTGACAGACTACTCACTACAACGTGAGTCTAGCACGTGACAGACTACTCACTATAACGCGAGTCTAGCACGTGACGGACTACTCACTACAACGTGAGTCTAGCACGTGATGGACTCCTCACTATAACGTGAGTCTAGCACGTGACAGACTACTCACTATAACGTGAGTCTTGCACGTGACAGACTACTCATTATAACGTGAGTCTAGCAGGTGACGGACTACTCACTATAACGTGAGTCTAGCACGTGATGGACTACTCACTACAACGTGAGTCTAGCACGTGACGGACTACTCATTATAACGTGAGTCTAGCACGTGACGGACTACTCACTACAACGTGAGTCTAGCACGTGATGGACTACTCACTATAACGTGAGTCTAGCACGTGACAGACTACTCACTACAACGTGAGTCTAGCACGTGACAGACTACTCACTACAACGTGAGTCTAGCACGTGACAGACTACTCACTACAACGTGAGTCTAGCACGTGACAGACTACTCACTATGACGTGAGTCTAGCACGTGACAGACTACTCACTACAACGTGAGTCTAGCACGTGACAGACTACTCACTACGACGTGAGTCTAGCACGTGACAGACTACTCACTACGACGTGAGTCTAGCACGTGACAGACTACTCACTACAGTGTGAGTTTAGCACGTGACGGACTACGCACTACAACGTGAGTCTAGCGTGTGACGGACTACTCGCTACAGTGTGAGTCTAACACGTGACGGACTACTCACTAGAACGTGAGTCTAGCACGTGACGGACTACCTTTCTGAGCGGCGTTGGTGTTGTTACGGGTTGGAACAGCACACCCACTGTTACTGTTATTCCTCATGGGAAAAGTATTCCAGCTGTATGCCATTTCGCTTTGCCAGGTAAATTTCATGAATGCAACCCCTGCGTTAAGCGAGGACTTGCCGTGTTTAAGCACTAAATGAATCATCATACCAAAAGTGCGTTTACCACAGTACTCTGTGCAATTCGTGGTGAAACAGAAGCGGTTCTCTTTTGGAACCGCTTTTTAAATAAAAAAACAGGACACCCTTTGATTCAAATAAGTTGACTGCACAGTTTTAATGGACGTGGATTGACTGAAACATATTTACAGTTTGGTCCGTGAGAGAGGTGGTAACGCTAGATATGTGCATGACAAATTTTATTTTATTGGCCTGCAATTAGATGAGCAAGCAATTTCCGGACTGCGCCCTAAGCCTTTCCGTTTCATTGCAGCTTGCAAGAGAGCAACTCGTGCGTACTGCAACGGCTCGAGGTTTGGGATGGACAGGTGAGCGAAGGCAATTCCCTGGCTGTGCTCTGTGGGGGAGCCGCTGTTGGCCAACACATCAAGTCCACTAAACAGGTCATCTCCTTGGTGTTAAAGACAAGAGGACCGTTAGATGGTAAGTTCAAAACAGAAATGCCACGTAGTGTGTATGCACGAGGGTGATTCGAATTCTCATTGACAATTATTTTTATTCTAAAAGCTCTCGGATTTCATTAAAATATGTTACATTTGTTCCTGTACTTATCATTAACTGCATGTGGGGTTATTGCAAGTGTGTTGACGGGGGTTGAGAGATGGAGGAACTTCACGAGGTTAAAACTGTATAGAACAGGGAACGTTTAGCCAAATTACTCCGAAACGGCTGTAAGACACAGCATGAACAAGAAGAGACGTTGAATTGTGCGGTGATGCCACAGAGGTTTTTTCACAAGCGGTTAAATCTCCCCACAGAAGATGTTTTTTTTTTTTTACAGAGATATGCTGAATGCTATTGGCATACACAGTAGAAGTATATTTAAAATGAACACAAAGTGGGTTTGAGCAAGAACAGATAGGATTTAACAAGAATATTTGACGAACCCAGACCCTTCTGCATAGCAGACGAGGTAGTCAACATCTTGCCACAGTGGTGCCTATAATCTACATAATATTTTACCGCACCTCAGATTAGAACAGTTGGCTTCGTACGGTGCGAAAGAAGTTCGACATACATACATCATTGTATCAATGGAGAAAAACTGAGATATATGTAGGAGAAGCTTTCAATTTGTAATAAAGATTATATGCTTATATTTTGGGTTGCAAAAGAATGATGTGGGTAAGAGGAGCACTTCTTTTTTGTGATTGTTTTCAATTAGAAGTAGAGGCGGACCTCGCTTAACACGATTCTGCAGAACGCTAATTCGTTTAAGTACTCTTTGTCGTGGAAAAAAATATACTGTAATTAATTTTTTTAAGAAACTCAAAACGCATACAAATTTCTCACGAGTGAGAATACGAAGCAGCAGCAATGGCTGAGGAAACCGACCAGCCCACATCATTCGCTTGGCCAATGAGAGCGACGCACACTCTGAGCCAACCAGCCCCTAACCACTTCCCACGATTCGAAACATACCCAGTCTCTCTCTTCTTTTATCCCTCCCCTTCCTCATCCACACTCCCCGTTCGTGATGCCTCCCTCCTCCCCGTCTAACTCCTCCTATAGTCACCCTTCTGTTATATGAAGTGTGAATACCTTTCACCAAATGAGATTTGCCAACATTGAAAGCCATGTAAAATAGGATAACTATAAAGTGCAGACAGCCTCCAATTTACGACGATCAACATTTACGACATTGATATAATCCCACCATAGATCAATTCACGACGCATTTTGCGACATGACTCCAAACACATTTGAACAGTGTGCCTGGCGTCCGATGTGACTTGGCTTGGAGTTTTTCTTATTCTGGAGTATTTTTGTGGATATTTGCCGATTAAATATTGTTCAATGTAGCTAATAAAAGGGAAAAAGACATCGGTAAGTAATGTTTCTACTGTCTATGGGAAAACTGTCGAATTTACGATTATCCAATTTATGACGACGGGGCATCCAGGAACACATCGTGATGTAATAAAAGTGGAGACCCCCAGTATATGGATCTGTGACTGTAATGAGTTTAATGCTGAGATGAAGTCAATCCATCGGAAAACATGCAATTTTTCCGCAGGTCGAGGGTTCAACATCAGCTACACCTCCATTAAAGTCACAAGGCCTTCTGGTGAGGACATGCCCAGCGCACCTTGTCAACTCGTACAATTGTTAAACAATTCTAGATTTAAAGCTTTTGTGACTGCAAGGATCCATACTCTTTGGTTCTATTCGGTAAAGTCACGTAGGTAAAAAAAATCACGACGTTTCGGCCACAACACAAGCGGCCTTCATCAGGTGAAGGGATCAGACTGTCTCGAGGACAGCGCTGGAGTGAAACACAGCCACGCTCAGACCGCGACCTTTAAGCTGTGTGTGAGGAAACAAGGTGCCTTGACAAAGAAATTAGCATAAAAATTAGCATTTGATTAGCCGACTTTGCATGAGGAACGGTGTAGAGGCGGTGTACATGCGGGTGGACATGCCGGTTGGCGAGGGGAGGAGGGGGAGTTTACCTATTGATGGTGTAAAAAGGGAATTTTTAAGAGCTGCGAAAGTTTGGAGTACCACTACTTGAAAAACATTCAGTACCATTGAAAATTAGTTTAATGTTTGGTTCGATTTAGAACATCTTTCCAATGGTTGTTTAATTTGAAACCATCTTCTCGGTTGAAATTGTGTCTATGTTTGTAGATCTGAATTGCCTCGTGAACAAATCTCTGATAAAAACCTGTGGGTTTGCAAAGAACCTTGGTATCGGAGAAAATTATATCGTGATCACCCACAGTGTTGTAACAGTGATCAGCTACGGCAGAAGAATTCGTTCTGCCGTGTTTCAAATCTGATTTGTGCTCGCGAATTCGGTCAGAGACATGTCGCTTTGTCTCCCCGATATAGCAATCACCGCAGGTACAACTCAATTTGTAAACCCCGGGGTACTGTAAGTCAGGAATGACATCCTTCACGGATGGGATCAGATCACGAATTTTGTGTACTGTATTAAACCGGACCTGGATCTTGTGTTTGTTTAGAATTTTGGAAATATTTTTAGTAACGCCTGCTATATATGGTAGTGTGATGGTTTTGACCGGAGTATCAAGTGGTTGTTTCTGTATGGAGGGAGAAACAGCTTGGCGGATGGTACGGTCAGAGTATCCATTCCTCTTGAGGGCCAGGTGTACATGTTTTAATTCACTGGTCAGGTGGTGTTGGTCCGAAATGCAATGAGTCCTAAAGTATAAAGTTTTGATGAGATAATTCTTTTGGGCTGGGTGGTGGTGGGAATCAGGTTTCAAGTAGGAATCTGTGTGGGTGGGTTTCCTGTAGACAGAATGCCCCAATGAGCCATCAGGTCTCCTCTCAAACAGAACATTTAAGATTCATACAACAACAAAATCCAGAATCTGCTCAACGATGGAAGTTACTCAAAAATTAAAAATGACCCTACCAATAGCCTAGCGATAAAAATTAACAAGATCATCACAAGTTCGACCTCCCTAATCGACCCAACTAAACGTCCCTCCCTAAAACCTTCTGCTACAAGACCCCCTAGATTATATGGTCTTTCCAAGATTCATAAAGAAGGCACCCCACTACGACCCATCGTATCCACGATCAACTCCCCTACCTATAGACTAGCCCGTTTTCTGTCAGATACCTTGCTGCCTTTCACTGGCAAGACCGCCTTAGCAGTACTTAACTCAGCCCAATTGGTCTCTATGGTCAAAGACGTTGTACTGTCCCCTGACGATATCCTTGTCAGCTTCGATGTGGTCTATTTGTTCACCAAGGTCCCAGTACCTGATACCATTGAAATAATTGAAAATTTGGTCCAACATGGACTAGACCCCGATACACCTGCACTGGTTAGGCACTGCCTCAACAATACCTACTTTACTTGGAATGGCTCCTTCTACAAACAAAATGAGGGCAACCCCAATGGATCCCCCTTATCACCAGTGATAGCCAATATTTTCATGGAGAAATTTGAATCAGACGCCATCCAGACTTCCACCCTCAGACCTTCCCTGTGGAAGAGATATGTGGATGACACTTTCGTCATTTGGCCACATGGCCTCCCAGCTCTGAACCTTTTCCTACACCACATCAATTCCAGACATCCCGCCATCAAATTCACCATGGAAATGGAGAAAGATGGCAAGCTACCATTCTTAGATGTTCTGTTTGAGAGGAGACCTGATGGCTCATTGGGGCATTCTGTCCACAGGAAACCCACCCACACAGATTCCTACTTGAAACCTGATTCCCACCACCACCCAGCCCAAAAGAATTCTCTCATCAAAACTTTATACCATAGGGCTCATTGCATTTTGGACCAACACCACCTGACCAGTGAATTAAAACATGTACACCTGGTCCTCAAAAGGAATGGATACTCTGACCGTACCATCTGCCAAGCTGTTTCTCCCTCCATACAGAAACAACCACTTGATACTCCGGTCAAAACCATCACACTACCATATATAGCAGGCGTTACTAAAAAGATTTCCAAAATTCTAGACAAACACAAGATCCAGGTCCGGTTCAATACAGTACACAAAATTCGTGATCTGATCCCATCCGTGAAGGATGTCATTCCTGACTTACAGTACCCCGGGGGTTTACAAATTGAGTTGTACCTGCGGTGATTGCTATTTCGGGGAGACAAAGCGACATGTCTCTGACCGAATTCGCGAGCACAAATCAGATTTGAAACCCGGCAGAACGAATTCTTCTGCCGTAGCTGACCACTGTTACAATGCTGTGGGTGATCACGATATAATTTTCTCCGATACCAAGGTCCTTTGCAAACCCATAGGTTACCATCAGAGATTTGTTCACGAGGCTTCAGATCTACAAACACAGACACAATTTCAACCGAGAAGATGGTTTCAAATTAAGCAACCATTGGAAAGATGTTCTAAATCGAACCAAACAATAAACTCATTTTCAATGGTACAGTATAATTTTTCAAGTAGTGGTACCCCAAACTTTCGCAGCTCTTAAAAATTCCCTTTTTACACCATCAATAGGTAAACTCCCCCTCCTCCCCTCGCCAACCGGCATGTCCACGCGCATGTACACCGCCTCTACACCGTTCATCATGCAAAGTCGGCCAATCAAATGCTAATTTTTATGCTAATTCCTTTGTCAAGGCACCTTGTTTCCTCGCACACAGCTTAAAGGTCGCGGTCTGAGCGTGGCTGTGTTTCACTCCAGCGCTGTCCTCGAGACAGTCTGATCCCTTCATCTGATGAAGGCCGCTTGTGTTGTGGCCGAAACGTCGTGATTATTATTTTATTTTTTACATACGTGACTTTACCGAATAGAACCAAATTGTTAAATATTACATTCAATGGACAATTTACAAAGTGTCGATTTAACAGTATTGAGGCACAGCTCGCCTTCTGACCATTCACTTTGGGATGGCTTCAGGTAAGTGGAGTTCATCATCCAAATTCATCCTATTGTACAAATTCCCGCAAGATTCTATTAAAGATATATATGGAGTAAATGCACACATAACCCTGACAAATAGAATATATCATATTATTGTATTTTAATTGTATATAGGATCTTTGGTCAAAGTGCTAAGCATAGTTTTAAAACGGTAACATAATAGAATGGTTTACATCGCAGGAGAGTGCAAGGATTGAAGAATGAGTGACCGAGATAGAGGGATACGTATGGGTTTCGGAAAAGGTAGGGGAGGGACAGGAAGGAGTGGAGGGATGACGGGAGGAAAGGGGAAAAGAATGGGCAACAGAGAAGAGGTTGAGTCTTTAAGACTGCTTAATGTACAGGAGAAGTTTTGAGTTTAAGGGCAGTGTTGAGTCTATCGGCAGTGTTGAGTCCATAGGCAGTGTTGAGTCGATGGGGCAGTGTTGAGTCTATGGGCAATGTTGAGTCTATGGTGCAGTGTTGAGTCGATGGGGCAGTGTTGAGTCTATGGGCAATGTTGAGTCTATGGTGCAGTGTTGAGTCGATGGGGCAATGTTGAGTCTATGGTGCAGTGTTGAGTCTATCGGCAGTGTTGAGTCGATGGGGCAGTGTTGAGTCTGTGGGCAATGTTGAGTCTATGGTGCAGTGTTGAGTCTATGGGGCAGTGTCGATTCTATTGACAGTGTTGAGTCTGTTGACGGTGATGAATCTATTGACAGCGTTGAGTGAATGGGCACTGTTGAGTCTATGGGCTGTGCTGCTCAATGTACAGTTCACGTTTATTCCAGTGGAGAGGTGCGAGGGAGATGGAACGGAGTCAAGATTGGGCATAGGGAGGAGGGACATAGAGAGAGAAAACTGGGAATGAAAAGGACAAGAGGAGTGGGTGTGGAAGGAAATGAGAGTGGCGATATGAAGTGGGCCAAGGTCACGGAGAGATTTATAGACTCGAGTCAGGATTTTTTAAAGACAGCGGGGTAGTAAACGGGAAGCCGGTGGAGTTGCAAAAGGAGAGATGAAGCATGAGAGAATTAGAGTGGGGAGTTTGAAAGCAAACCCTGCCGAATATTTTTTTTATTTTTTTGGAGGGGAGTGACAGCCTCGGCAGGGAGACCCAGAAGAAGATAATTACATGACCAAGGATAAGAGGACTGCTACTGTTACTTTAGTTCGAGTGAATGCATGGGTCTACGACATTGTTGATATTGTTTTTGTATTTAAATTTCAGTACCCGTAACGTGTGGGACGACATCAGTGCACACACAGAGTCCCTGGGTGGTTCAAATGCAGAACGTGTACGGCTATTCCTCTTGCAATGGTGCGCTCATTGGAATTCGATGGATACTGACTTCTGCAACCTGTGTTTACAAGTGAGTTCCATGCCTGCTGTGTGCATTTTAATGTAATACATTTGTGCTGTGCGTTAACCACTGCACTACAAACCCAGCCTGCCGGGTTCGATTCCCGCTCACGGCTACCTGGTACGGTGTGTAAACATCGCGACTAGTGAAACAAAGGTGGGCGAGCATGGTGCTGGCCACCCACCCCCTCGTGTGCCATGCCAGCCTTCAGAGGTGCTCGCCGGCCCACCCTGTCCCTCTCCTTCCATGAATCGTAAATGGACAATAAAAATAACAAATTTCGGAGATGATGAGTAACCACTCTGTATTGTGTTCTGTTTGTTGTATATATTGTGTTGTAAAAAAAAGGTGCTGATTTAAGAAATTATGCCAATGAATGAAGTTCTGCAAATTATGCAAAATTTATAAAATAATTATACGTGCATGTATTTCATGTTAATTGATGTTAATTGAGTGTAAGTGTAATGTGATCAATCTATGTGTGATTAAATGTGTCAAATATAACGTAAAAATGTATGTATATGATTTATGTGTGTGTATAGGAGTGTTATTAATGTGTGTGTGTTAGTTTGTATTATGATCAATAAGTGTGCGTGTAGTTATGTGTATTACTATTGGCTCGGCTTCGTTATCTAGGGGCGTATCTTGTGTGTGTGACGGTGTGTGTTGCTTAGCTTCATTGTCTAGGGGTGTATTACCAATCGTGATAATACAATGATTCTCGCTTAAACACTTACTGGTTATGATTTTAGTGTAATTATGTCCAGTCGCAGGATTCAGATCTCGCCGCGGGATACAGTTCTTATAATTAAGATAATTATGCATGAACTTAGGAAGGAACCACTCAGACTATTCTGTGTTAAGCAACTTCAATAGCTAAAATCACTCTAATGTGCAAACACACTTATGATCGGAGTTGCCACAACGGTACTCCTGCAGATATCACACTCATCCATCCGTCCAATTAAACCTCAATGGTTAGGTTGTTAAACTGGACAATAAAACAATAGGCTAACTCCTCATAGCAGCGCGACAATACACGACGATAGGACAGTCCTTAAAAATGACAATATTCATACGAAACCGTGCTAAAGAAACATGTGCCCAATGGCAAAAGGGGGCAGCAATTAAATTAATTGGTAAGATTAGGCAATTTCAAGAAACATCTCAAAACAATAATATTCATGTGAGTATGTAGATTCGTGACGTAAATGCTTATACATATTTAGTGTGACATCAATGAATTTATTGGTAAGATTATGCGATTAAAGAAATATCCAGAAACAATAGTATATATGCGAGTGTGTAGGTTTGGCTAATAGTTACTTATCAATTGGCAAGTAGGACATCAATGAATTTGCGGGCAAGATTGTGCGATTAAAATAAATATATCGAAACAATAATATTCATGCGAGTGTGTCGATTCATAACATAGATGCTTATAAATGTGTAGTGTGACATCAAATGAATTCGTTGGTACGATGATGTGATGAAAAGAAAACGAACGACTAAAATACTTCTAAAAGACCGTATTCATGCAACTTGAGGGACAGAACAATGCTTCTCCACGACAAGCGAATGATTAACACAACACCTTGGAATGGCAACCCTTTTCGAAACAAAAAAACCCTTGGCACAATCTCATTCGTACCGATAGGTACGTTGTGTGTGTGCGTTGGAGGGCAGTCACCACGAGGTCCAATAATTATAGTGGGCAGTGTGGTTTGAGTTATCCACAAATTATTTCTGCTAACTGTGGTTCTGGGGTCCAGCGATTTTCCTTATACCGAAAATACCTTAGGTCCCCAGCAGGGGGCGATGGGTCGGCGGGTGGGTGTTGTCGAACACGCGGCGTTTGTTCTCGCCTGCGCTGTCAGCCAATTACCGCAGCGGAGTGGTTGTCGATTCGGCACGCTGCTCACGCTGCTACGGTGCCTGTGCTGGCAGGAATGATGGGTCCGGCTCCGCATGTGTTGGTGCGTGCGATGGTCACGTCGCCAGATAGCGCTCGCAGCTTGTCCGATGGGTGGCAGCACGTCAAGAGGGGGGGGTGGGGGGCCCTCTTGGCACCAGACACGGTTGCTTGTGTCTCGAGCTCGACCTTTGCTGCAGTGTTCTCGGGGCTTCCCAGTTAGCACGCTCACAGATTATTTGCTTGCTTTGCGCGACCACCCCTGGGGCCCCAGCTCTCCCTCAGGAGGACTCCTGCTGTGGGCTGCTCGTCGCTGCTTCTTACTCACTCTCCAAAACTCATAAAAAATGTATTCACCCACCTCTTAGCGTCTCATAACGTTTATAGCTTAGTACAATACAACTTCTCGCAGTCCTTGTCTCTGCAAGCGACTCAAAACATCAGGATAAATGTAGAATACATCTTTCAGCAATACTCTGTCAGCGGCGAACTCAGCACTTAACAATACATTGCCCCTCTCCTCTGCAAGCCTCGACACCCATGGTTGATTTCGAGGACCAAAGCCAAGAGCTTCCCGTTGCAAGAAGGGTTTGGGTGGTTTGGCGTCTTCGTTATATCCGAAATTTTTGCCTCTGGCTCGTCTTCTCACAAAGGAACAGATTTCCTTTTATTTCACTCCTTGGTCTGCCATTGGTCGGTTTTCTCTCACAACAGAGCAGCTGTCCTTTTGAAGTCGTGACCTTTGTTGTGCAGATGTCTTTTACTACCGCCATGTTTTCTATTCACGTTTTGAGCAGCGTTCTTACATGCCCCCATCACGGGTTTGAAGTATTATATGAAAAATAATGCTTTCACCCACCTCTTATAGCATAGTACAGTACAACTTCTAGCAGTCCGATATTGCCACGTCTGCAGTAATGTGTCCCAAACCCTTATGGATGCCTACCTAAAACCTAAGTCCCACCACCATCCATTCCAGAATAATTCCCTCATCAAAACTCTACACCATAGAGCTTGATGTATTTCCGACCATCATCTCCTAGCCAGTCAACTGGAACACGTACTCCAAGCTTTCAAGATGAATGGATATTCAGACTACATAATCAATAAAGCTATCACCCCAACCGTTGGGAAAGAACAATCTGAAGACCCATTCAAAACCATCACCTTGCCATACCTAGCAGGGGTCACCAAAATATTTCCAAAATCATGAGCAAACACAAGATCCAATTTCGCTTTAACACAGTACATAAAATTCGTGTTCTGATCCCATCTGTGAAGGATGTGACCGGTGACACGCATTACCCCGGCGTCTACAAACTAAGCTGTGTCTGCAGACGTAGTTACATTGGGGAAACTAAGCGACATGTCTCAGACCATGTTCGTGAACATAAAGCAGATCTGAAACACGGTAGGACCAATACCTCAGCCGTGGCTGAGCTTTGTTTTAATGCGGTGGGCTCACATGAAATTTATTTCTCTAAGACGAAGGTACTTTGGAAACCCACTGGCTATTAACAAAGATTCGTTCATGAAGCCATCCATATATACAGACACAATTTCAACTGAGAAGATGGGTACAAACTCAGAAATCATTTGAAGGACGTTATCAACCAGTTTAAGTCATAACTGGCTGTGATGTTCCCATCCTACCACCTTCTGATGTTAGTTATTTTCGGCTCTCCGATTTTACATTAACAGATTACATTTCTCACACTAACACAGCCACCTTCGCGCGCCGACCTCAAGGTGACAGCGGCTCTGTGATCTCCCATTAACAAGCTAATCTCTCACATTAACATAGCCACCTCAGCGCGCTCGCCATGGAGGCCACTCACCGATCTTACATTGACATGCTAATTTTTACCTGGCAGCCCTTTAATTGGTGGAAAACCCACCACAATCACGGTCGCTGCCCATCACTTACATTAACATTAGCTGCCCCGCCCATGCTGCTGACATTTGGGCTATGTCTATTACAAACCTTTATCAACAGTTTAACTTTAGAAGCTAACCCCTTTTTCTTGATTACAATTTCTTGTGTTGCAATCGAATCGTCGTAGTTTTTTGTTATTTTCTTTGAACCTATCTACGTGACTTTACCAAAAGACCCAAATAATATTAATTCTATTACCTCAATGTTAAGGCCATAAGTCTTTCAATGAAGAGCACAACGTAACAAAACAGCACTAAATTTAATCAACATAGAACTTCTATTTTGATCACTAAAACATTCTAATCATTTTCCAACTCCGTTATATCTGTTGATTTTAGTTGGGTTGATCAAAAATAAGCTAATTATTAACACCCATGAATATAATGAAGTAACTCTTAGCACGAGGCTAACACCATCTTATTAAATTTCCCACGCAAAAACCGGCAAACTGACGACACAGCAAAAAGAAGTAAACATCTCATGCAATAATCACCAGACACATCCCCATCACCCTCAACGTTGATGGAATTGAGTGCCAGTGTTAATATTCTAGACCCAATTATTATAAGTATTTTATATATTTCAATCAACATTCATATCAAAGTCTTATTTGTGCATATATTCATCACTACCGATAACTCAATCAACTGTCAATTAAAATTACCAAGTTTCTGTCACCTGTTTACCCCCTTTTTGGTACCTACATAATACAAGAGCAATTCAGAGTTTATTGGTCACCCCGTGCCCTTATAAATCTCAACGTTCATCCTACAAAGTCCCATCAAAATTGAGAAATGAACCTGATGGCGGGACCCTGGGGTCCCATAAGTCCCCGGCTCTCTCATAAACTGCGCTGTGATGTCATTTTATGTCAGTTGAAGGAGAACGATACGACAATCTATTCCTCTCGACGAGCTCTATACGATGCGCTAATCAAAGTTTCAAAGTTTTGTTTCTTCTGCGCATTCATCCTCGCTGCGCTTGGACGACATGGCATGTATGTGCATAGTGGGACTGAATCGCCAAAAATTAATTAATTAATTAATTACGATTTCGACTTCCGTTTATTCGTGACCCCGGGGTCCCGCCAGAAGGTTCAAATACAAACAAATAAACATTTTCTTTTTGCCGTATTGAAACGACTGTACGCCGTATGGACCTGTAAACTCAATTTCCCTGCACAAGAACATGGGGAAACCATATGGGTTGACAGGTATGCTGTCAGTCAATTAACATTCAAGTAATATTAATTTAAGTTATACTTCATATTTTAATGGAGCCAATGTAATATGAATCTCTCCAGCATGGAGTCAACCATAATTATAAATTGAGGGTGTGACCTTTACTCTGAATAGTCTACACACTGTAAGGTTGTGGCCTGCTGTGCACTTGGGGCTCGTGGTCCTATTTTCTCTAATCATCATTGCCTTCACTTACAATGAAAAAAAAACGCAGCAATTACAGGAATACGTCGCAGAGTGCACAGTTATAGGTCTGATCATCACGGGTAAGTTCACACCAGCTACACAAACAACACTTGCTCCTGTAGTCTGTGCAGGCTAAACGGGAGATCTTTATCTTTGTGTAACAACTCGGATGACTGAAAACTTGCAGCCTCTTTATTGAAGACACAGTGACTATACTAGGCCCTGACTTGGTTCTTAATCTCGTGGTTCGTCCCTTCTCTCGAACGTCCCCACTCCTCGTGCTTCTCTCCTTTCATGCTCGAGCCCACTTTCTCGAACTTTCCTGACCCTTTTTTTTCCTTTAACCAATCCTTGTCCTTCTTCTCTAATGGATCCCCTATTTAGGTTCAAACCCTTTTTCTCCAATTAGTTTAAAAGCCTGCATCCCAACCAATCCCTGTGGAGGCCTCTTTCGGTCAATCGGAGACCATGGTTTATTTTCGAACTAGCCATTAGGCTGCACATTAGCTTGGGGACATTTTTTTTGGTCATTACATTTGTGAACTCTAAATGTGTGTGCATTTAAATGGAAATATCTTCTGTAACTATAGTCCAAACAACGTCTTAATGTAATAGTGACATTAACCATGTGACCCGGCCAGGCCTCTCTTAATAGATACATATTATGTATATCAGCCGGAAGGGACCAATGAACTGCTGATCTGATTTCATCAGCGTCCTACAATGGTTCAGATGTTATACACAAGAACTAACACCACCCACAGACTCAACACCGCCCATACTGTAGATTGACACTGTCCATAGACTCAACACTGTACATACACTCACACTATCCAAAGACTGAACACCTCCCATAGGTGAACACTGCTCACAGACTAACACTGCCCATAGACTCGCTCTGCAGATAGACTCAACACTCAATGCTGCCCATTGACTCAACGCTGCCCATAGAATGAATACCACCCACAGACGAACACTGCCAACAGACTAACACTGCCCATAGACTAACAGTGCAGGGAGACTCAACACTGTCCATACAATCAACACTGCCCATATAATGAACACTGCCCATAGACTAACGCTGCCCTTAGATTTAACAGCACATATAGGTTTGTTTTAGCAATGCACACGTGTCATCGGTGGAGGGGGGGGGGGGGGGGGTGATTTCTCAATCGCGTTAAAAATGCTACAAAAATACACACAACGCTGAGGTAAATGTTTAAAAGTGTCATGTCCTCTTCCCCCCGCCTCACCCCAATGTGTGGACTTACTACTATAGGGTCGGTAGATACTAATATTATAGTGCTTACATAGTATTATTTCAGCGTGGCCGGGGGGATGGTGGGGGGGGGGGGGGTAGCGGCCCAGTCCCCAGCCTGCCAAGGTGCCACCTTGGCCGGCTGGGCAATCAAGGCGAGGCCGGGGGCTCTGCACGGGACTAGGCCTCACCACTTCACCACGCCACTCCGTTAGGTTCGTGGTTTGTGTTATACAATCGATATATACTTATATAGAGGCAGCATGTACTACTGTAGTGATAGCAGGTACCGCCACAGTTAGTATGCACTGCTGCAATAATTGCAGGTACCACCGCGGTCAGTTTGCACTGCTGTAGTGAAAGCAGGTACCACCACAGTCAGTATGCGCTAGTCTACTGATAGCAGCTTCCACCACAGTCAGTATGCACTGCTGCAGTGATGCCACGTACCACCACAGTCGGTATGCACAGCTACTGTGATAGCAGGTACCGCCACAGTCGGTATGCACAGCTACTGTGATAGCAGGTACCGCCACTGTCGGTATGCACTGCTGTAGTGAAAGCAGGTTCCACCACAGTCGGTAAGAACTGCTGCAGTGAAAGCAGGTACCACCAAAGTCGGTATACACTGCTGTAGTCATAGCAGGATAGCACCACAGTCAGTAGGCACTGCTCTGGTGAAAGCAGGTACCACCACGGTATGCACTGCTGTAATCATAGCAGGTACCACCACATTCACTATGCACTGCTGTAGTGCTAGCAGGTTCCACCACAGTATGCACAGCTGTAATCATAGAGGTGCCACCACATTCACTATGCACTGCTGTAGTGCTAGCAGGTTCCACCACAGTATGCACTGCTGTAGTTAAAGCAGGTACCACCACAGTCAGTATGCACTGCTGTAGTGAAAGCAGGTGCCACCACAGTCGATGTGTGTGTGCATAAGTCGTGGTGTGTGTGTGTAGACAACTAATAATTTAAAATTAAGTTACTTAATTTTACAATAATCATGTGTGTCTAAGTCCATGTGTGCATGTGAGTCGATGTGCGTGTCTGTGTCAATGTGTGTAAGAAGGTCGATGTGTCTGTGTGTGTGAGTCCATGTGTGTGTGTGTCGATATGTGTGTGTGTAGGTCCATGTGTGTGTGAGTCTATGTATTTGTGTGTATCAGTCAATCTGTGTGTGTAGGTCGATGTGTGTGCGTGGGTCCATGTGTGTGTGTGTAAGTCATTGTGTGTGTGTCTTAGTTGATATGTCTGTGTTTGTAAGTCCATATGTGTGTGTGTGTAGGTCAATGTGTGTGAGTATATTTGTGTATATGAGTCGATGTGTGTGTGTAACTCCATATGGGTGTGTGTTCAAGTCGATGTGTTTGTGGGTCAATGTCTGTATGTGTGTGTAAGTCGATGTGTGTGTCTGTCTTTTTCGCTCAGGCAACGCCGGGTACTTCCCGCTAGTGTAGTATAAAGGTGTATGAGTGCCAATGATGCACGATGTTGAATAATAGTGCAGTGATTAGATTATTCCGAGGTTGATATTAATAGCTTACGGTTCAGGTTGAGCCCAATTCAAGTTAAGCCAATGTACATAATTTAGATGAAACATCACGACTTAGACAGTCTGCTTGACAGTGCGAGATTAGTAAAGACAGTGGTTGAAGTAAATGTAAAATGTATCTAATTTATTTTAAAATGTTACCATTTGCAGCCGACCAGTTTATGAGTGGCGAGTGAATTGGTTTGGATACTTTGACAGCGGGTGGTGGGCGTGGTGGCATTGGACCTGGTCTGGGAATATCGCAGTGGCGAATATATTTGTGCACCCGAAGTACAATGCCTCCCGCCCTGACTACGACATAGCTCTGGTGGAGTTAAGTCAAAGCATTCAGCCAACGGAGTACATAAACCCGGCGTGTTTGCCATACTTTTCTGAAGCCGTGCCTTTTTCCGGAAAATACTGCTACCTTCACTCGAGTAAGTATTGCCCACGTGCACATACACGCAGAGTATTAATTTCATTAAAACACGTGGACAGTCGATGAAGCACTTTGCTTATTGTGAATGAACGTTGCTAGGTTTATGGAATAGCTGATGCTGTGAGCCGTCTTGTATAGCGCTCTAGCTAGCGCTGTCCTCTCGCAAAACAGTCATACAGGGATTCCTCGATATACAAGTGTTCGCTTTACGAAATTTAACGTTAACGTAATTGACAAATTATGGACACTTTTCGACTAATGAAATCGAACGTCTTCGTAAATGAAATTTCACTCTGGCACACTCCATGAGATCAGCGCCATTTCAACATGCAGCAGATCTTTTGGTGAGTTCCCTTCATTATTTTGTATTAACTAGTATTCATTAGTTTTAATACTTAAGTTAAAAAAATAAAACAACAAAAATCACGACGTTTCGGCCACAACACAAGCGGCCTTCATCAGGTGAAGGGACCAGCCTGTCTCGAAGACTGCGCTGGAGTGAAACAGAGCCAAGCTCAGACTACGACCTTTAAGCTGTGTGAGAGGGATTAAGGTGCCTCGACAAAGGAATTAGCATAAAAATTAGCATTTGATTGGCGGACTTAGCATGATGAAAGGTGTAGCACGCGGCAGTGCACCTTTAAGCTGTGTGAGAGGGATTAAGGTGCCTTGACAAAGGAATTAGCATAAAAATTAGCATTTGATTGGCGGACTTAGCATGATGAAAGGTGTAGCACACGGCAGTGCACCTTTAAGCTGTGTGAGAGGGATTTAGATGCCTTGACAAATGAATTAGCGTAAAAAATAGCATTTTATTGGCGGACTTATCATGATGAAAGGTGTAGCACAGTGATCGGCACCGGCAGTGCACCCGCCTGTGCTGCGAGAGTTTGGGGTACCACTACTTGAAAAAATATACTGTACTAATGAAAATTAGTTTAATGTTTGGTTCGATTTAGAACATCTTTCCAATGGCTGCTCAATTTGAAACTATCTTCTCGGTTGAAATTGTGTCTGTGTTTGTAGATCTTAATTGCCTCGTGAACAAATCTCTGATAAAAACCTGTGGGTTTGCAAAGAACCTTGGTATCGGAGAAAATGATATCGTGATCACCCACAGCGTTGTAACAGTGATCAGCCACGGCAGAAGAATTCGTTCTGCCGTGTTTCAAATCTGATATGTGCTCGCAAATTCGGTCAGAGACATGTCGCTTCGTCTCCCCGATATAGCAATCACCGCAGGTACAACTCAATTTGTAAACCCCGGGGTACTGTAAGTCAGGAATGACATCCTTCACGGATGGGATCAGATCACGAATTTTATGTACTGTATTGAACCGGACCTGGATCTTGTGTTTGTTTAGAATTTTGGAAATCTTTTTAGTAACGCCTGCTATATATGGTAGTGTGATGGTTTTGACCGGAGTATCAAGTGGTTGTTTCTGTATGGAGGGAGAAACAGCTTAGCGGATGGTACGGTCAGAGTATCCATTCCTTTTTGAGGGCCAGGTGTACATGTTTTAATTCACTGGTCAGGTGGTGTTGGTCCGAAATGCAATGAGCCCTATGGAATCAAGTTTTGATGAGAGAATTCTTTTGGGCTGGGTGGTGGTGGGAATCAGGCTTCAAGTAGGAATCTGTGTGGATGGGTTTCCTGTAGACAGAATGCCCCAATGAGCCATCAGGTCTCCTCTCAAACAGAACATCCAAGAATGGTAGCTTGCCCTTTTTCTCCACTTCCATGGTGAATTTGATGGCGGGATGTCTGGAATTGATGTGGTGTAGGAAAAGATTCAGAGCTGGGAGGCCATGTGGCCAAATGACGAAAGTGTCATCCACATGCCTCTTCCACAGGGAAGGTCTGAGGGTGGAAGTCTGGATGGCGTCCGATTCAAATTTCTCCATGAAAACTTTGGCTATCACTAGAAGGAACCATTCCAAGTGAAGTAGGTGTTGGTGAGGCAGTGCCTGACCAGCGTAGGTACCTTGGGGTTTCGTCCATGTTGTACCAAATTTTCAATTATATCAATGGTATCAGGTACCGGGACCTTGGTGAACAAGGAGACCACATCGAAGCTGACAAGGATATCGTCAGGGGACAGTACAACGTCTTTGACCTTAGAAACCAATTGGGCTGAGTTAAGTACTGCTGAGGAGATCTTGCCAGTGAAAGGTAGCAAGGTATCCGACAGAAATCCCTCTCACACAGCTTAAAGGTGCACTGTCGCGTGCTACACCTTTCATCATGCTAAGTCCTCCAATAAAATGCTAATTTATATGCTAATCCCTTTGTCGAGATACCTTAATCCCTCTCACACAGCTTAAAGGTCGTAGTCTGAGCTTGGCTCTGTTTAACTCCAGCGCAGTTTTCGAGACAGGCTGGTCCCTTCACCTGATGAAGGCCGCTTGTGTTGTGGCCGAAACGTCGTGATTTTTGTTGTTTATTTTTTTACCTACGTGACTTTACCGAATAGAACCAAAGAGTATGGATCCTTGCAGTCACGAAAGCTTCAAATGTAGAAATACTTAAGTTATTTCTTTTTACTGCACTGTGAGAAGTGATAAAGGTGTTTATGTTTAAGTGACGAGTAGAATTTGGATGACTGTCCAAAACACATCCCTCATTTTTAGTATTAATTCAATGGGAAAAGCCGTTCCGATTAACGACATTTCGTTTTACACATGTGTCTTGAAGAACGAATCCCTTTCATACAGCGAGAGATACCTCGACCCCGATATACGCCTCCCCCTTTTACCTCGTTTCGCAAATACGTCGTCACGTGATGAACACTGCAACCTGGTCAGCGTCGCCTCATTCAACTGACAGCATCATCTGTCCCTTAACGCATCTATCACCTCTCAGCCTTCGCCTCCACCTCCCTGCACATAAACTACTTTGTGTCGCGCATAAAGAAACGTACCATACTATAGACTACAATATATTATTCATAAACAAAATGTCGGTGATTGTTTTGTTTAGTGCACCGAATCTCACTGTGCCCTGTATAATGTGTTAATGTTTACTGCTCTACATTCGTATCGAGTACAGTCTGTATAACGCAGTAGTTGCGTTCCTTAAGAACACTGCGTTATGGAAAAACCGCGTATTAATAAATAAAATATTGTATAGGGGGTAACGCACAGTCCACGATAATACGTGAGATGCGTATGCAGGCTGAACAAAAACTGGGGCGTGTGGGCAGCATCTAGAAGTATCCAGCAGCATCCCAATGCCTTGTGTGATGATGCTACGCCGAGGCAGCTGTACGACCGTTTATTCCTACCCGCGCAACGAAGTTCTGTTCACTCAATCGCGTTATGTCCAATTCACATCCGCGTTATAAAAGCTGTATCTCCCAATACAGCCATCGTGTTAAAAATAATTTGCATTCTGAAAACACGCAGCGCTATAGAAGACTGTACAGTGTTTAAATTATTTAATGTAACCTTAGTTCATATTCTTGGTTCTTTCGGTAAAGTCACGTTGAAGGGAAACAATAAAATAATAAAATATGTATAAAACAATGAAACATAAGCAATCATCATCAGGTGTGAAAACCACAGCAAGAAAATTTGAAAAAAGTGGCGTTTTTTTTACGTTAGCACCACGGAGAGCGATTTGGCAGTTTATTCAGATGGACAAGTCCATCTATGTTCGGAAAAGAGGAGGGGGGAGACGAAAATAATGGATGCGGTCTGAAAGCCACCGTAAGCGTGAACAATCAATTAAGACCTGAAATGGTTTATCAAATCCTTCCAATGATTGCTAAGCCAGAATCCATCTTCTCAGTTGAAATTGTCTCTGTGTTTGTATATGTGGATAGCCTCATGAACGAATCTCTCATGGTAGCCGGATGGCTTGCAGAGAACCTCTGTCTTGGAGAAGTCAATGTCATGTGAGCCCACTGAATTATAACAGTGATCTGCCACGGCCGAGGTGTTGGTCCTACCGTGTTTTAGGTCTGCTTTGTGTTCATGGATGCGGTCCGAGACATGTCGTTTGGTTTCTCCAATGTAACTACTACCACAGAGGTAGCTTAGTTTGTAGACGCCAGGGTACTGTATGTCCAGATGAGCCACTCTGTCTACAGGAAAGCTACCCATACGGATGCTTATCTGAAACCGGTTTCCCACCACCATCCATCACAGAAGAATTCTCTCATCAAGACTCTGTATCATAGAGCCCAACGCATATCCGACCAGGAACACATAGGCAGTGAACTCAAGCACGTACACCAAGCTCTTAAGGCTAATGGTTACTCCGACTATACAATCCGCAAAGCTATCACTCAAACCATGAAGAAGGACCCTCTTGAGGAGCTTTTCAAAACCATCACTTTACCCTACATTGCGGGGATCACAAAAAAGATCTCCAAAATCTTGAATAAACACAAGATCCAGGTCCGTTTCAACACATTACATAAAATCCGTGATCTGGTTCCGTCTGTAAAAGATGTGATTCCGGACATAAAGTACCCTGGCGTCTACAAACTAAGTTGCCTCTGTGGTAGTAATTACATTGGAGAAACCAAACGACATGTCTCGGACCGCATCCGTGAACACAAAGCAGACCTAAAACATGGTAGGACCAACACCTCGGCCGTGGCAGATCACTGTTATAATTCAGTGGGCTCACATGACATTGACTTCTCCAAGACAGAGGTTATCTGCAAGCCATCCGGCTACCATGAGAGATTCGTTCATGAGGCTATCCACATATACAAACACAGAGACAATTTCAACCGAGACGATGATTCTGGCTTAGCAATCATTGGAAGGATTTGATGAACCATTTCGGGTCTTAATTGATTGTTCACGCTTACTGTGGCTTTCAGACCGCATCCATTATTTTCGTCTCCCCCCTCCTCTTTTCCAAACATAGATGGACTAGTCCATATGAATAAACTGCCAAATCGCTCTCCGTGGTGCTAACGTTAAAAAAAACGCCACTTTTTTCAATTTTTCTTGCTGTGGTTTTCACACCTGATGATGATTGCTTGTGTTGCAGTCGAAACGTCGTGAGAATTGTATTGTTTAATATATATTTTATTATTTTATTGTTTCCCTTCAACGTGACTTTACCGAAAGAACCAAGAATATGAATTACTGCAGTCACGAAAGCTTTAAATCAAAATGTAACGTTAGTTATTTAATGTAGCACGCAGCATCACCGCACTCTCCGTTGTCTTTGTTTAGCTCTCGTAGAAACATTGCTATGATTGACGTTTCGATATTCGTCGCGGCACCTTTCAGCAACGAGATTCCGATATAAACCGGGGTTTTACTGTGTTGCAGAACAACTTGCACGGACACCACCTGTGAGAACGGCATGAGTTGATGTAACTAAGATCTGCGCTGAATAATAGCATCTGTACTTTCACAGGATGCCCATGAAATAGAACTAAGGAGTTCTTATTTTTAGTGACTCGCTTTCCTTTTCTCTATTTTGCATTCCTGTCACTACCCCTATCACTACCACAACCCCTATCACTACCCCTATCACTAACCCAACCCCTATCGGGTTTTAAATCATTATTATCCCTATTACTACTCCAACCCATTTCACTAACCCTATCACTAACCAAACCCCTGTCACTACCACAACCCCTTTCACAACCCCTATCACTTACCCAACCCCGATCATTACTCCTATCACTAACCCAACCCCTTTCAACAAACCCTATGCCCACTACAACCCCTATTATTACTCCAACCCCTATCACTACCCCTATCACTGCCGCTATCAACAACCTCTATCACTAACCCAACCCTGATCACTACTGCAATCCCTCTCACAACCCATATCACTACCCCTATCACGAAGCCAACCCCTATCACTACCCCTATCACTACTCTAACCCGTATCACAACCCCTATCACTACCCCTATCACGAACCCAACCCCTATCACTACCCCTATCACGAACCCAACCCCTTTGACTACCCCTATCATTACCCCAACCCCTATTACTACCCCAACCCCTATCACAACCCTTACCACTATCCCAACCCATGTCACTACCCTAACCCCTATTACTACACCTATCACTACTCCAACCCCGATTACTACCCCAATCACTTCCGCTATCGCTACCCCAACCCCCGTCACTACCCCAACCCCTATCACAACACCGCTAACTACACTTATCACTGCTCCAACCCCTATCACTACCCCTTTTATTAACCCAACAATCATCCCTACCCTTATCACAACTACAACCCCTATTAACAACCACTATCACTATCCCAACTCCTGTCACTACCCCATCCCCTATCACAACCCCTATCACTACTCCAACCCAGATCACTACCCCTATCACTAACCCAACCCCTATCACTACCCCTATCACTAACCCAACCCCTGTCTGTAACCCAACCCTATCAACAACCCCTATCACTACCCCAACCCCTATAACTACTCCAACCCAAATAACAACAGGTATCACTAATGCAATCCCTAACCCAACCCATTTCACTACTCCTATCACTAACCCAACCCCTATCATTACCCCTCTCACTACTCCAACCCCTATCACTACCCCTATCACTGAACCAAACCCTATCACTACTCCAACGCCTATCACAACCCGTATGACTACTCCAACCCCTATCACAACCACTATCACTACTCCAACCCCTTTCACAACCCCGATCACTACCCCTATCACTAACCCAACCCCTATCACTACCCCTATCACTAACCCAACCCCTATCACTACCCCTATCACTATCCCTATCATGAACCCATCCCCTGTCACTACTCCTATCACTACTCCTACCTCTATCACTACCCCTATCACTACTCCAACCCCTATATCTACCTCAAACCATATCACAACCCCTATCACTATCCCTATCACTACCCCAACCCCTATCACTACCCCTGTCACTACCCCAACCCCTATCACTACCCTGTCACTACTCCAACCCCGATCACAATCCCTATCACTAACCCAACCCCTATCAACAACCCCTATCACTACCCCAACCCCTGTTACTACCCCTGTCACAACCACAACCCCTATTACTACCCCTATCACTAAACAAACCCCGATCACTACCCCCATCACTACTACAACCCCTATTATAAAACCGTATCACTACCCCAACTCTTGTCACTTCACCAACCCCTATCACTACCCCTAGCACTACTCCAACCCCGATCACTACCCATATTACTACTGCAACCACTATCACTACCCCTATAACTGTCCCAACGCCTTTTACTAACCCAACCACTATCACTACCCCCATCACTAACCCAACCCCTATCAACAACCCCTATCACTAACCCAACCCCTGTCACTAACCCAACCCCTATGATAACCCCTATCACTTCTCCAACCACTATCACAACCCCCATCACTAACCCAACCCCTATCAACAACCCCTATCACTAACCCAACCCCTGTCACTAACCCAACCCCTATGATAACCCCTATCACTTCTCCAACCACTATCACAACCCCTTTCACTAACCCAACCCCGATCACTACCCCCATCACTAACCCAACCCGTATCAGCTACTCCTATCACTAACCCAACCCCTGGCACTAACCCAACCCCTATCAACAACCCCTATCACTAACCCAACACCTGTCACTACCCCAACCCCTATCACTGCTCCAACCCCGATTACTATCCCTATCACTAACCCAACCCCTATCAACAACCCCGATGACAACTCAAACCCCTATCACTAACCCAACCCCTATCACTACTCCAACCCCTATCCCAACCCCTGTCACTACCACAACCCGTATCAACAACCCCATATCACTAACCCACACCCTATCACTACTCCAACCCCTATCACAACCGCTATCACTACGGCTATCATTAACCCAACTACTTTCACAAACCCTATTACTACTGTAACCCCTATCACAATCCCTATCACTAACTCAACCCCTGTCACTACCGCCATCACTATACCCACACCTAACAACAACCCCTATCACGTACCCAACCAGTCACTAACCCAACCCCTATCAACAACCCCTATCACTACCCCAACCCCTGTCACTACCCCAACCCCTGTCACTACCCATATCACAACTCTAACCCCTATCAAAACCCCTATCACTAACTCAACCCTTATTATTATCCCTATTAATACTCCAACCCATTTCACTAACCCTATCACTTACCCAACCCCGATCATTACTCCTATCACTAACCCAACCCCTTTCAACAAACCCTATGACCACTACAACCCCTACTATTACTCCAACCCCTATCACTACCCTTTTCACTGCCGCTATCAACAACCTCTATCACTAACCAAACAATTATCACTACTGCAATCCCTCTCACAACCCCTATCACTACCCCTATCACTACCCCTATCACTAACCCAACCCCTATTACTACCCCTATCACTACCCCTATCACTACTCTAACCCGTATCACAACCCTTATCACTACCCCTATCACGAACCCAACCCCTATCACTACCCCTATCACTAACCCAACCCCTATTACTACCCCTATCACTACCCTTATCACTACTCCAACCCCTATCGCTATCCTTATCACTAATCCAACCCCCATCACCAACCCCTATCACTACCCAATCCCTAAAACTACCCCTCCCTAACCACTCCCTCCTGTCATCATAACTACACCACCACTAATAACAACCCCACTCTTTATTTAAACCAGTATCATCTTACATACTTTATTATAATTGTCGTAAAGCGCCTTGTGTGCAGGTGCTGCTATATAAAGATAAAATATTGAGATTAGTGACCACCGGAGCACTACACATTCTACAGCATTGTGAGCTGTAGTTTGCTTTAATGACGTTGTACATATATTCAGTATACAAATATGTATATACTATATTAACCACGTGTCTATGTAATGTGCTGGTTCCATTGTTTAGCTTCAGGTAGAGAAAGTTTACCCTACAGCATCATCGACACGAACGAGTGCAAGTCTTTCCAGTTCAACAACAGCGGCATCACCAGTCGGATGATCTGCACCCAGTCCGAACAATGCAGGGTAAGCGTTGCGATGCAATTACAGCGCACGGGCAGTCCTCGACTTGCCAATGGTCAGGTGTTGTGAAACGTGTTATGGTTCAATATTGTTAAAAAACATAAATAAGAAGAAACATTTTACATGAAAATAATAGCGTTTTTATTTTCACTTACCTTGAGTCGAACGGTTCGCTGTTGTTGTGCATCACGACGGATGCTGGGAATCATTACAGCTTGTGCAGGATCGCTCCGCTGAATAAAACAGTTCCGCGATTTTTTCATAAGTACAACCAAATGTTCGCTAAGTCGGGTGGCTAAAATTAATCACTTCTTTTGGCGATTCTTTCATAAGTGCAGGATGTTCATATGTCGGATATTCGTATCTCGGGGAGTGCCTGTATAGTGAATTATAACCTGAAGCAGAAGATTAGCAAATCTTATTTGTAACGTTGATCCTTACCCATGTGTTGATAGTTCTATCGTAACGTGCATTTGTATTGAGGGACTGCTCTGTGTTGTCTTTGTGTGGTCTGGGATTGTTGTTGTTTGCTGATTTACCCCATGCTTAAATCAGAAATAAACTGCTACCTAAAAGTAACAATCTCCAGCACAGCAAGCAGTCTGGTGTTTGAGAGGATTACTGCAACCACCACAACAATGATGGATTTATTAAATTTTCTCTTCAGTAACATGGATAAAGGCCACTACTGCTGTGTACTTTTCCTCGACTGATTAAAAGACTTTGATATTGTTGGCCATGGTCTTCTACTCACACGACTAGGTCAGCTAAAACATGGGACTCTTCTTGCCAGTATCAAAGTATAAGAATAGGTTTTACCCTTTCTGTAAATAAAACAGGAGTTGTTAAAAGTTCAAACACCAAACAGAAACATTTTGCAAGGAATCATGTCTGCATTAACCACACATACTTGTGGTGAACATGTTCGCCTTTTTGGCATTCTCTGATCTAACACTGGTTGAAACCAGACCCTAAAGAAGGCTGTCTCTAGTATTGACCAATCATTTTCAAAGACAATGCATATATTTCCAGAGCATGTTTTTGTTTGCATGTTCACCACAAGTATGTGTGGTTAATGCAGACATGATTCCTTGAAAAAAGTTTCTGTTTGGTGTTTGAACATCTTAACACCTCCTGTTTTATTGCCAGAAAGGGTAAACCCTATTCTTATACAATAGATCAACTAAGTTTCTAAGACAGTACAATAAACTGGTTAAACAGTTACCTATCAGACCGTTCTCAAAAAGATCCATAGTGATGGCATCTCGTCCACAATTATTAAAATAACAAAGGGTGTTCTCAAGGTTTCAGCTGGGTTCAATTTTGTTCCTTAAACTTAAACAATATTGGATTAAACTTAAATCACTCAGACTTAAATATCTTTGCTGATGACATTCTCATGCTAGTCTGGGACAATTCTCTAAACGAAGTCAAACACAATCTTTAACATAATTTCGACTTAATTCAATATCAATCACCATTTCCAAAATTGCTCCTAAATCCCCCAAAACCCGAAGCTCTTTTCTTCAAATAATTTGCTTTCCTTCCCTTCACCTATTATGGATATCAGAAACAATATCATTGAACAAACGGAGTGCTTCAAAATACTTGTATTTACTGATTGATTCTAAATTAAACACAAAAACACTTACTTGCGTGCAATTTATACTTATTCACTTGCTTCAAGTACACTAAAACCATGTTTTTGGTTTAGATATGCAGATGATACTTTGGTTGTCTGGCCACATGGTAAAAATGCGCTTAATTAATTTCTAAATCATCTAAATTCGCAAAACCCGGCCATCCAGTTCACCATGGAAATGGAGGTGAATTAAACACTCCCATTCCTGGATATTTTGCTCGGATGCTGCCTAAATGGTAAAAAAACACAACTTTTACCAAAAGGAAATGCACACTGATGCCTATCTGAATGCAGATTCGCGTCATCACCCCGCACAGAAATCCTCTGTCATTAAGGCGCTCATACATCGGACTAAAACAGTGTCAGATGGTGAAAGTCTGAGGAGAGAAATAAAACACGTTAAAGACGCATTACGATTAAATGGCTACAATCAAGCTCAAATTAACAGAGCATTGAATGCCAAATCAAGATCGAATAGCAATACTGCTGAAAGAGATTCGGTTATACAACAATTCAAATGCAATATATTGCGAGAGTAACTGAAAAATTAGCTAGAGTTTTGGAAAAACTAAAAATCTGAGTAAGATTTGGCACGGTACACAAAATAAAAAAAACTAGTATTATCAATGGAAGGTGTGTATCGGATTAATTGCTTATGTGGCAGTTGCTATATTGGACAGAAGGGACATAGCATTAGCGTAAGACTAAAAGAACACCAAAGAAATATTAAATAGAGTACTCTCAAACACAACTATTGACAGTTGCAGAACATGCTTGCCAACAAGGACATGCAATTGATTTTGGTAACGTTGAAGTGTTTTCTAAAACTAATTATTACTAGCCGAGACGAATTCTAGAATCCATTGAAAATGAGAGAATACAAATATGTGTAACTGCTCTCATAGCTACAGGCTTAGTGCAGCCTGGAAGGGCATTATTAAGTAATACATCTTACAATTGCATTCCTTATAGAGGAAACACATGCTAATTAACTGATTACTAATCTATTACATAATTATAATAACACCCCCTCCGCCTTTCATCTCTGCACCTGATGGGGTCACAGTGATGACGTCATTTTGCTCTATGTAAGACCGGAAGCAGGTGGATTGCTTCACTATTGTGGCAAATCTCCCGATGATGCTGGATGCAATTACCAGCGAAACGTCGTTTTCAAATTGTAAATGTTACTCTCCAACACACCGGTGGGCTGAAGTAGTACACTACACTATACACTACTATACACTATACTCGTAACTAATTGGCGCGTTGTTTACGTGACAAACCTTACTGGCTGTGTCGGGTGGTGGAGAGTTCCAACACATTTATACTTACGTGATCTAACCACAAAACCTTTATTATGAATACTGGTCGCGAAAGCCTACGTGTTAAACTGAGTATCCATCATGAGTCTTCTAAAACGAAATATCCATCTCTTAAATTCCTCTTATCTCAGTACATCTCAGTCTCGACAATATTTAGAAATTCACTATAACCTCCAACCTTGCCTCTAATCACACATCTCTATCTACATCTCATCAATGTGGTCTCTGTCTTTCTTTCATCTCACTGCATCTCCGATGTTCGTAGTATATTAATGAACAAAACATATAAACCGAAGTTTAATATGTCTGCAGCCTGTTGTAATTCGTATATTCATCATTATATTCTGAATGTTTTTTTAAATAATCATCAAATAGTATACTTTTACTTATAATTTCATGACATGCTTATGTTCCCACACAATACAATATTTGCGTTAAGTGTTCATTGTTGTGACATTAACTGATTAATACTTACTGATATGGCTTCACACTCTCATTGGTCGAAATGTTAAGTAATTTATGTTTTTTTACATATTTCATCTGAACATCCAGTTACAACGTTTAACTCCAGGCATCCATCGATATACGGAACAGATGTGTTCCTGGCAAGTTGTCTGTTAGTCGGAATTTCGGATATCAGGCACTATATTCCCATAGATTCCCATTATATAATTGTAGATGCTTACCTGTGGGAAAAAAAATGGCCCCAGGCCCAAATAATTTAATAAAAACGCACTTCAAAATGCAGCAAACATTGTTAAAGCATTATTTAATGGAACATCGAGAATTTTATGACTAAATGTTCATCATACTCAACAAGTCGAGGAAAATCAGTACAGCATGAAATGCACGCTTGGACATACTCCTTACGTGCCTTGCTTACTCACCCCCCAAACCCCCACAATGTAGAATTTAACGTTTCAAATTTCCGTAAATGCGAATTTAACAGACAGTATATCGAATGTCTTCCCTGACGTATAAGATACGTGATCGTGAAATTGCACATGTAGAACGAGGGACGACTATGCGTATATATGTTAATGTTAACCCCTGCTTCTGTGTTTTAGGATATGTCACCCCAATTCCTGATGTGTCAAGGTGTGGATGGCCTGTGGTACGTGGCTGGAATTGGCAATCGTCTGGTGCGGTGTGAGCCCAACGGAATAGATCTACGCGCCTTCGCAAGGGTTCGGAAGTTTGTAGGCTTCATTAAAGCAACCTCTGGCCTAGAAGCCTATCATCAAGTATAACTACACACAGCAAACCACATCATGGGGTACGGAAGAGAATGTGGGGCAATTCATCAACGAATTTACTTTAAATTGGTCACCTAAATTTGGAGTTAATCAAGTCAGTAATTGCCGATTGAACATAACACTTTAAATGAATGGTGTATTGATCATAATCTAAATTTTATATTTTACAATCTTTTAAAAGAAATGTTTATTGAATACTGTTGGGTTACATGTAGTATGGACCAATTTTTTACAGTGGCCATAAAACTAAGAAGTACAAACCATTAATTCTAATTATTTTATTTTAAATCAGTAACATTTTTAAAAGTAACTGAGGTAATAATATGTTGCTCGCGTCAATGTGACGTTATTTGGCGAGCCGTGTGTCACGTGTGCAATAAGTGGAGGTGCAGGGTCACAGCGATAGCCCTCGGTTGGGGTGGTTCGTCTTTATTCTGTAGACGGGCCACATGCAGCGCTTTCCACCGGGGGTAAGGTAGCGCATTCCAGATCTCACACACACCTTGAATCAGCGCCACCTCAGCCACGAAGGGGTGTTGCTTGTGATTACCTGCAAGATACGGGGAAAACTCCCACCATCTGATAAAACAATTCACGTTTCGCACACTCGCTATTTTAATCCCCACCCTTAGTTATACTTTTGGCTGCTGGAGTTCAGTGTGGAGCCCCAAGTCCCACTGCTGCCCTCTAACCAGACCCATCGCTTGTGAACTCACCAGGTGGGCCTCACCTGCCACCTCCACAGTCCACCAGGTGGCGACCCACACCATCTCACCACATCCCACTCCATGCCGGACACCGCGACAACTCAATGACACCAACAGTGCACAACATCCACCATTGCAGTCCACTGATGCTTCACCCACAGCGAAAAGGTTCTCTTCCACAATTTAGGTGTCGCTTAGTGGCACCTCCTCCTTGCCTCAGGGTAGCACCGAGGACGTCCTTCTGCTCCATGCGCTTGGTCCCAACCCACTCTTCTGCCCTTGACCATACTCCTGCCTTGACTCTGCTCCTGACGCCAACTCTAACCCACACAGGAAGTCCCTACCACTGAAAGGACCCCCCCCCCCCTCAGATAGCCTAAAACAGACTCTTGGAGCAAGTGCTGTTAGCGAGCACTTATGAAGGCCGACACTGCACACGAAGTGGTGCGTGGCCAACACCGCCTTTGTCTCCCCAGTGGTGACATTTACACATCGCACCAGGTACACACTTGAGGCCGAATCGACCTAGGGGAGGCCCAGGACCGGTTCAGATTATTCATCATTGTAGTTGGCTATGAGCGGGAATTGAACTCAGGTCATTATCGGGTTCATAGCGCAATGCATTAAACCGCTGCACTACAGCTCTCTACAGGTGTACAGCATATTTACGTGCACTACCACACCACATCGTGCAGCGTAGGATTTTACTCGGCGTAAATCTTGGCAGTCCTCAGTGGGCTGTTGAGTAGTCTCTGCTCTGCTGTAACGACTGATGCTGCTGGTGTAGCTCGCCTGCACTGCGGGTAGTGGCCGGTTGTCACCGGGTGCCATTCCTTCTCTGAGCTCTCCTTTACACCCTTAGCCAATCGGAGCGCAGTTCTAGTGTAAGCCATCACGGCTGACTGCCTACCGACTTGCTTTAGATTCGTCCTCTGTACACGGTTCCAGACAATCGGCTGCTTGATTTGAAAAGCATGCAAAATCATCGACCAATGGTGAACGAGCAATTAACCGCCTGCTTGTGAGACGAGTCTCCCCACGTGTGCAAGGTCCACCAATCGCGAGCAAGGTGCTCAGTCTGCTGCACCACGTGTCGTTGTCAACTGCTGAACTCGTGCGAGTTTAGCCAATCACAGCTCACCCACACCTCATGCCTACGCACGCATCTCTAATTAAGGGGGCTTGTTTTACTTTACCACGAGACAATCACTGTTCGTGTATCGCAGCCATCTCACATCTCAGTGTCAGCGTGCTCGATATTTCCGTCCCAACTCTGAGCAGTTACCTCACCACGCTGCAGTGATCAACTACATGAAGTGCACTAGACCGGGTAGGATTTACATAATATGCAGGATACCGTTAAGGGTTTATGAATATATGTTTATTTGAGATGTTATAAGATAAGTGTTACATTGTCAATGAGCAGTAGTTCAAGACATCGGACAGAGTGAACAGACGCAGTCTGATGGAGCCGTAATGCTACGTAATCACATTCACCAACTACGGTTATTCATCGCCTCACGTTACAGATGTGTTCATAAAAGCGATGAATTACTGTAAGCATTCACATTACACGTCCCACGTGATCCGCTAAGCAATTAAGGCTGTCTGCGTTAATGGAGATGATTCACATGAAGATTGAGATCTCAGTGTGCGGTTACGTACACGTGTAACCCGGGCGTGCATCCGTGCGTGTGCCAACGTGTTCAATGCAGCTGTAAACAGCAGTACATTTCGAGCCTCGACTACTGTAAATTACCAATTTGTTGCTATAATGCATTCCCATTGGTTTTCTTGAAGATATAGCACTGAAGGATTGTAGGTCTATTTCTCAACATGAAAGTTCAAACACAGTTTTTTGGTATAATGTGTAAGTCCCACGTACTGTTTTGTTACACGTAGATCCATAGTTTACATCATTCGTTAAATAAGAAGCCCCTCATTGGGTGAAAATGAAAACAAAACATGCTTAATTGCAACGTAGGGCCATTGAAGGCATTTGAAATGGATTTATTTTAAGTTGTTTGAAACAACAATGGGCATATTAAAAAGCAGCAGAGAGGCAAACGACAAAGGCAATGGAAATGCTCCACGCTTTGGCAGTAGGTTGTGTCACGGCAGATACGGAAGCAGAGCGGGAGATGAGTCAGCGCACCAGGTTTGTGGTGTCATCGCTGCCTGATGAAGTCCAACGCAGTCTGAGTGAAGCATCGCCAGCCGGTGTCGAGTCCGCACGAGAAAAGGCTCAAGCGTGGAGCTTTAGATCGGCCAGAACTTTATCACTACAGTGGCATGCGTACATTATATCTTTGTCAACGTGATCATCCCGCAGGGTGGTGGAGGGTTCTTGACAATAATTTTGACCAAAAAAACGACAATGTGGTCTAACTCAAAATGAAATATTATTCGAATGCATCATACAAACGCATGATTTCTGAACCTAGTAATATATAAGGTTTAAATATTAATTTACTCTGATTCTGATATTTGATTATAATGTGCGTATAATGGTTTTAATTGCTAAATGCAAATGCTATTCTTGTATGATTATATTGGGAATAAAGGATGTTCAAAACGTTTCAACAAGCAGCCACTTTAATGTTTTATATTCACGTATTGAAAGCTAATACCATACATATATTTAACAATTCTGCAATTTTATTCCACCTCAAATATTGCGATACAGGAAAACCTTGCCCATCGCGGCTTTATCGTGTTCCGGCTCTACACGGGGGTGATGTTTTGGCTGGACGCGGTTTGACGCTGCTAAGATTCTCATCTCTGAGTTGACAACGTCGTGACGCGAGAGTGCTGCATCCGTTGTATAGTTTAATGTTTCGGCTGTGAGAACGATTTATTTACCATGTATGTGTTTTTGTGAGATAATGTAACACTTAACACGCACAAGGACACAACGCAAACGGTTATACATGACAGCATGCAACTCGCTGTCCACTCGTTGAGGACGTGATTCAGACGGACGCCTGGATGGCAAATCATCAACACTCACGTGCTATGGCACAGTGCAAACGTTCAGACATTGCTGCTTGCATCTAACTGTTCAGTCTGCGAGGATGTCAGTCAGACGGACACTTGGATGGCTGATCATGAACGTTCAAGTGACAGTGTCAGGGGCGAGCGATGGGCGAGTGCCGTGGTCTGGCAAGAGTAATGGAGACGGAGGTTTGTAATTGAGGTGAAATAAAAAAATTAAGAGTGTACACATACACATTTAATTGAGATTGATGCAGGATCCTTTGGTACAATAACAATGTAGAAATCTGGCAGAATTAGTTTAACAAATAGGGAGGAGGTGATAATTTCGTATCCAGGAACGCAACCCAATTTTACCCATGAGGTTTGAACACTGTTTTGCCCAACACGGCATTTTCCACAAATGTCGGCTGAGGTCTGCCTGGACATCTAATATTGTAACACATTCCTGCGGAGGGGGCTGGTAGGAAATTTTGAAGTAATTATGTACAGATATTTAATCCCGGTTGGGCTTCCAGTCCACTACGTTTCCTACCAGTATTATCTTCTGCATACTTGCAATGCGACTACAATCTCTTTAAAGTTCTTCAATAGCAGTTCGTTATAATTAATTATTAGGAATGCTTATCTATGATTCTGATAACGCAGTGTAATTATTATCATTATTTCGATGTCCAATCACCCTTACTTTAGCACTAGTTTGGCAGGAAATGAAATGTTTCAGAAAAAGTAAGCAGACACGGATACTTTGCATATCACGATATATTGTTTATCACCATCGTGGTACAGCCATATCATGACAGTCCCAGCAGTAAGTGGCATCTTATATAAACTTAATTGTTATTTTACCAGGTAAGGCCCACTGAGCTATTAAGCTCTTTTTTCAGAAGCGACCTGGTTACAGATGAGAGTTCAACCAAGTGGCTTATCATGTGGAAATGTATAGCAGAAAACCCGGAGAAAAATCCACGTGACCACGGGGACAGAGACATACCAACTCCAAATAAACAGGCATCAGGGTCGGGATCGAAACCAGGACCTCTTGTATACCAGGTGATGTTAACATCTCTCCACCGTGGAGACTTGATCCTAGTCACCCCTTTACCAATCGGTGCTAACCAGCATGATGAAGTACGGTCAAACAACCTCCGTGACTGACACTGTAGAGGAAGTCCTAAATCCGTAAATTGGCAAAGGATTGTGAATGACAATTATAATTATCAATAATTAATAAAATTTGCTAAATATACATGTTATGGAGAGAAAGCCACACACAGGCTTTAAGTAACTCCCAGAGTGCGAGTTGAATCATTGGTTTTAAAATTCGAGCTAAACGTGAGCGCAGCCTCCTTCACCATGAGGTCAGGAGGTCACACTCACGTGTGTTGAGTCGTCACAGTGGTCACGGCTCTGAGGCTCGCCAGGGCTCAGTATTTCCCGGGGAGCCCCTTAGGCCGGTACACGTTGGGGTCACCCCCGTTGCGTCCATGCCGGTTGGCTTCCTGGTCGGCAGCCGAGTCCTTCCCGGGTCGCAGTATCTCCCGGACGTTGCTGGACACAGAGGTGCAACAATGGTGGTGATGCAGTGACTCAGATCAAACAGGGAACAGACAAATACAAAGATCCACCGTATAGCCTCGTAACAGGCTGTGAGAGGTTGTTAGCGAGCACCTATGAAGGGTGGGGTGGTACACGTAAGCTCGGCCGCCTTTGTCTCCCCAGTGGCAACGTTTATACATTGCACCAGGTACTCGTTTGAAGCCGAATTCACCCAGGGGAGGCCCGGGGTCGGTTCAGATAATCGTCACTAGTGTTGTCCGTGAACACTTTTCAGGAAAGCATAAAACGAGGAATTACTCTCCTGGTCTATCCTACCCCACTAGACACATTTTTGTTTTATAAAAAAACTAATTTCTTTAGAACTGCTTATTGTGTTTAGTTTATCGTCCTTCCCCCGCACACTCCGATTACCATGTTTGGATACGTACGCAGGAAAAAAATGCAACATACATATATACAGACAGTTAGACGAATCCTATCGCAGGACCCTCCCCGTGATGAAGACTCTCACTCGGGATGCCGTGAGGCTCCATGGTGGTCGCATGACTCACCTGATCACGGCCGCAGCGAAACGCCCACCCGGCCCTCTTTGGGCTGCTTGATAGTTCCCGCGGGCGTGGAAGTATTTGTCCGCTCCTATGTAGTTGGCCTCCTTCATGTCCTGGTAGGCTCTCACCATATCTCTGGTACCTGTAGGAGGTCAAAGCACAGAGGAGGAAAAAAAAGAAAGCCAGTTGCTGGAGAATGGCCGATGGGGACTATAGGCTTCGCTACATCATTGATGCAAATGCAACAATCAGATCGTAACTCACACCACGATGCTTGGATATATAGAATTATGTACATTGGTGACCGTGGGAAACAATCTCCATGTAATACTGGCTCTGTATTGATTCAGCAAAGTTATGTGTGTGTTCTAGATTTGAAGCTTTCGTGACTGCAAGGATCCATACTCTTTGGTTCTATTCGGTAAAGTCACGTAACAAACAACAAAAAAACAAAAATAAAAAATAAAAAAATTCACGACGTTTCGGCCACAACACAAGTGGCCTTCATCACATCAGGTGAAGGGACCGTGCTGTCATGAGGACAGCGTTGGAGTGAAAACAGCCAAGCCCAGGTCGCGTCCTTTAAGCTGTGTGGGAGGAAGCAAAGCGCTTGACAAAGGAATTAGTATAGAAATGAGCATGATGTACGTAGGAGGTGTATGGGCCATGATGGACCAGGAGCGGGTGCGGACCATAACAGACCAGCAGCGGGGGGGGGGGGGGGGTGGAGTAGAGTGAGTGGAGTGAGTGGAGTGAGTGAGTGGAGTGAGTGAGTGGAGTGAGTGAGTGAGTGGAGTGAGTGAGTGAGTGGAGTGAGTGAGTGAGTGGAGTGAGTGAGTGGAGTGAGTGGAGTGAAGTGAGTGAGTGGAGTGAGTGAGTGGAGTGAGTGGTGTGAGTGAGTGGAGTGAGTGAGTGAGTGGAGTTAGTGGAGTGAGTGGAGTTAGTGGAGTGAGTGAGTGGAGTGAGTGAGTGAGTGGAGTGAGTGAGTGGAGTGAGTGAGTGAGTGGAGTTAGTGAGTGGAGTGAGTGAGTGGAGTGAGTGAGTGGAGTGAGTGGAGTGAGTGGAGTGAGTGAGTGGAGTGAGTGAATGGAGTGAGTGAGTGAGTGGAGTGAGTGAGTGGAGTGAGTGAGTGAGTGGAGTGAGTGAGTGAGTGGACTGAGTGAGTGGAGTGAGTGAGTGGAGTGAGTGAGTGAGTGGAGTGAGTGAGTGAGTGGAGTGAGTGAGTGAGTGAGTGGAGTGAGTGATTGGAGTGAGTGAGTGAGTGGAGTGAGTGAGTGGAGTGAGTGAGTGGAGTGAGTGAGTGAGTGGAGTGAGTGGAGTGAGTGAGTGGAGTGAGTGGAGTGAGTGGAGTGAGTGGAGTGAGTGAGTGAAGTGAGTGAGTGAAGTGAGTGAGTGGAGTGAGTGAGTGGAGTGAGTGGTGTGAGTGAGTGGAGTGAGTGGAGTGAGTGGAGTGAGTGAGTGGAGTGAGTGGAGTGAGTGAGTGGAGTGAGTGGAGTGAGTGGAGTGAGTGGAGTGAGTGCACTTGGAGTGAGTGAGTGGAGTGAGTGAGTGGAGTGAGTGAGTGGAGTGAGTGAGTGGAGTGAGTGAGTGAGTGGAGTTAGTGGAGTGAGTGAGTGGAGTTAGTGGAGTGAGTGAGTGGAGTGAGTGAGTGGAGTGAGTGAGTGGAGTGAGTGAGTGAGTGGAGTTAGTGAGTGAGTGGAGTGAGTGAGTGGAGTGAGTGAGTGGAGTGAGTGGAGTGAGTGAGTGGAGTGAGTGAGTGGAGTGAGTGAGTGAGTGGAGTGAGTGAGTGAGTGGAGTGAGTGAGTGGAGTGAGTGAGTGGAGTGAGTGAGTGGAGTGAGTGAGTGGAGTGAGTGAGTGGAGTGAGTGGAGTGAGTGAGTGGAGTGAGTGAATGGAGTGAGTGAGTGAGTGGAGTGAGTGAGTGAGTGGAGTGAGTGAGTGGAGTGAGTGAGTGGAGTGAGTGAGTAAGTGGAGTGAGTAGAGTGAGTGGAGTGAGTAGAGTGAGTGGAGTTAGTGAGTGAGTGGAGTGAGTGAGTGGAGTGAGTGAGTGGAGTGAGTGAGTGAGTGGAGTGAGTGAGTGAGTGGAGTGAGTGAGTGAGTGGAGTGAGTGAGTGGAGTGAGTGAGTGGAGTGAGTGAGTGGAGTGAGTGAGTGGAGTGAGTGAGTAAGTGGAGTGAGTGAGTGAGTGGAGTTAGTGAGTGAGTGGAGTGAGTGAGTGGAGTGAGTGAGTGGAGTGAGTGGAGTGAGTGAGTGGAGTGAGTGAATGGAGTGAGTGAGTGAGTGGAGTGAGTGAGTGAGTGGAGTGAGTGAGTGGAGTGAGTGAGTGGAGTGAGTGAGTGGAGTGAGTGAGTGGAGTGAGTGAGTGGAGTGAGTGAGTGGAGTGAGTGAATGGAGTGAGTGAGTGAGTGGAGTGAGTGAGTGAGTGGAGTGAGTGAGTGAGTGGAGTGAGTGAGTGGAGTGAGTGAGTGGAGTGAGTGAGTGGAGTGAGTGAGTGGAGTGAGTGAGTAAGTGGAGTGAGTAGAGTGAGTGAAGGGGACAAGACTGTCCAGAGGACAGCGCTGGAGTGCACACAGTCAAGCTCAGGCCGCGACGTCTAAGAGATTTGTTCACGAGGCAATTCAGATCTACAAACACAGACACAATTTCAACCGAGAAGATGGTTTCAAATTAAGCAACCATTGGAAAGTTGTTCTAAATCAAACTAAACATTATACTAATTTTCAATGGTACAGTATATTTTTTAAGTAGTGGTACCCCAAACTTTCGCAGCTCTTAAAAATTCCCTTTTCACACCATCAATAGGTAAACTCCCCCTCCCCGCTCCGCGCCAAACGGCAAGTCCACCCGCACGTACACCACCTCTATGCTAAGTCGGCCAATCAAATGCTAATTTTTGTGCTAATTCATTTGTCAAGCCACCTTGTTTCCTCGCGCACAGCTTAAAGGTCCGCGGTCTGAGCTTGGCTGTGTTTCACTCCAGCGCTGTCCTCGAGACAGCCTGATCCCTTCACCTGATGAAGGCCGCTTGTGTTGTGGCCGAAACGTCGTGATTTTTGTTGTTTTATTTATTTTTTACCTACGTGACTTTACCGAATAGAACCAAAGAGTATGGATCCTTGCAGTCACGAAAGCTTTAAATCTAAAACTATGGGTCTATATATGGTCGGTCTATGGGTCTACGTTTGGCGAGTCTATGCTTCGGTGTGTAGTCAGTCTATGGGTCTCTATGCAGTGAGTCTATGGGTCTTTGTGTGCCCAGGCATGCGCCTCTTACCTCCCACAGCCTGTGAGAAAAAGTTCCCATTGGCAGTGGCGATGGTCAGTGTGAGGAGGAGGAGCAGCACGGAGAGGAGGGAGACCTTCAGCATGGTTGGTGCTCTACGCGATCTGCTGGGCAGGGAGGGTGGAGACACATGAGGAGCAAAACATTGCGCGTCGCATTGACAGCCCGCTGACAACTGCCAACGGTGGAGTAAAGGCCGATGTCGTCGGTTCCATGCTCACCTTGCACGACGATGAAAGCAGAAAGCGAATCGCAGGAGCAGAACCAGCCCTGATGGCCCAACGATGGTCACAGTGAGCGTGATAGGTTTGTCCTCACCCAGTGGTGTTGGACTTTGGCAATGATCTCGCGTTAACCCTGCACCTTTCCGCAATGTCGATCAGTAAACATATTGATTGTTCGTATTTCCCAGCAGTGCCGCTTTTTTTTACCGAGTTAAATATTAACTCTGGGGCTATGTGGTGAGTCTGTGGGTCTCTTTGTGAGTCTATGGGTCTAATCTGCAGACACGGGTGCCGCTCCTGCTGGCAGTCAAAAACAATCACTCAGTGCAGCTTGACAATAGAATTGTCACAGAATGTTTCCATAAGAATTGTTTTTTATGGCAATAAAACAGGTGCTAAGATTCGATACACCAAAGAGATAACTTTTGCCAGGCATGAAGTCTGCATTAACCAAACATACATGTCGCAAAACATGCAAACAAACACGCTCTGATAATAGAGGGCATTGTCTTTGAAACGGATTGGCTTACACCAGAGACAGCCTTCTTCATGGCTTTGTTTCACCAGTGTCAGACAGAGAACGCCAAAAGGCGAACAGTACAAACGCAGTTAAATTTCGATTTAAAGCTTTCGTGACTGCAATGATTCATCTTCTTTGGTTCTTTCGGTAAAGTCACGTAGAATGAGAATAAAATAATAAATTGATAAAATAAAATAACACAATAATATTCTCACGACGTTTCGGCCACAACACAAGCGGCCTTCATCAGGTGAAGGGACGAGACTGTCTGGTAGGACAGCGCTGGAGTGAAAGAGCCACGTTCAGATCACGGCTTTTAAGCTGTGTGAGAGGAACAAAGCGCCTTAGAGTCGCGGCATCTCTTCAGAAAGGTGAGAGACTCGATTAGTTGAGCCTTCTTATCCCGAAGTCTGTTGAATGATCTTAAGGATGTGTGGAATCCCTCCCCGTAGAGGCGGTTAAATTTCGATTTAAAGCTTTCGTGACTGCAATGATTCATCTTCTTTGGTTCTTTCGGTAAAGTCACGTAGAATGAGAATAAAATAATAAATTGATAAAATAAAATAACACAATAATATTCTCACGACGCGACTCTAAGGCGCTTTGCCGCGACTCTAAGGCGCTTTGTTCCTCTCACACAGCTTAAAAGCCGTGATCTGAACGTGGCTCTTTCACTCCAGCGCTGTCCTACCAGACAGTCTCGTCCCTTCACCTGATGAAGGCCGCTTGTGTTGTGGCCGAAACGTCGTGAGAATATTATTGTGTTATTTTATTTATCAATTTATTATTTTATTCTCATTCTACGTGACTTTACCGAAAGAACCAAAGAAGATGAGTACAAACGCAATTCAATTATCAGAGCATGTATAGCTCGGGTTGAGCAGTTATACAGTATGCCAAAAGTACGTGTGGTTACTGAAGACTTAATGCTTTGCAAAAGTTTTTTTATTTGGTGTTTTAACATCTTAACACCTCCTGTTTTATTGCCAAAATGGGTAAAACCTATTCTTACATTTCATACTTTTGATACTGCCTAAAAAGGTCCCATAGAATGCTCCACGTTGTAGAACCTGGGCAATGAGTGTGCGGAGCTCTGGCACAAGTCCTGCAATGGCAGAACAGGCAGAAGTGGATACCTGTCATCCTCAAGGGTTTTACATGTACGAGACTCCATTGCGCTCGCTGTTGAAGCTATGGTGGGCCTCCGAAATCCTGTCTGTAAACCCTGGCTCTCTGATTCCACCTTCCAGGCTGGTTACACCAAGGAACACAAACTTCTGGGAATTTTCAAAACTCGAACAATAGATGACCGCTTTCTCTCTCATCAAACGTCTCAGAGGAGGTGGGAGACATACTGCCAATGCTCCTATGACTAAATCATACGGCTCTACTTGCTCATCGGTGGAATAAGTCTTCACACGATGGACTGAACATTATGCAGCAGGGTTGAACCACCAACCAGCAGATGCTTGTCCTGAATTGGCAGACATTGCAATTGTAAGCAATTCTCACTCAGACTGTCAAACAACACAGACCTTCCTACATCAGAGGAAGTTTGGCATGCCGTCATGAAGCTTAAAAAATGCAAAGCAGCTGCACTAGATAATATTTCTCCAGAACTTTTGAAAGGTGCTCTGCATCCTATCAGCAGAGGGTAACATCAGCACTTCATGAAGGTCCAAATGTCCAGCAATGTATCTGCTGTTTGGAGAGACAGTAAAATTAGTTATTTCGGTAAAGTCACGTAGAAGGGGAACAATAAAATAATAAAAATATTAAACAATAAAACAATATTATTTTATTGTTTCCCTTCTACGTGACTTTACCAAAAGAACCAAGAATATGAATCCCTGCAGTCACGAAAGCTTTAAATCAAAATTTAGACAGTAAAATCGTTAGTTTGTATACAGCGAAAGGGTCCCGTATGGCATGCAGCAATTATAGACCTATATCCCTACTTTGAGTACCGGGAAAGGGTTCTGCACATGTACTTCTAGGCAGGCCGCAACCATTCCTGACAAAACACCATCGCCTATAGCAATCAGGATTCACAGCTGGTCGATCTACGATGGATGCTGTGCTTGCACTTCGCCTACTTGCAGAACTACACCGTCGGTTCCATAGCCCATTGCATGTCGCTTACATTGGGTTCAAGGCATATTTTGTATCTGTGGATTAGATCGGGTCTCTGGTCTGCCTTGAGTAGAATTGGGGTGCCTGGCATCCTGATGGACCTTGTGAAAGATCTGCATCCAGGCAAAAGTGCAAGGGTTTGTGTCGGGTCCGGACTTTCGCCACGAACCGAGACCACATTTGGAGCACGTCAAAGATGCGTCCTCGCACCGGCACTCTTTTGTCGAGAAGCCTAAAACATTCGTACCAGTCCTCCAACATTTCTTTAACAGTGTAAGAAAAATGGACTAAATGCTAAAAGACAGCAAAAAAGTACAGAACTTGGGCTCCGGACCTCCAGAAGCATGTAGGGTCCTTCACTGACTATGCATGATGAATGAATACGTCACAAGTAACCTTAACATACCATCAATAACATTCGAATCACATAAAAAATTTAGTCGTCTACACATTCGTTCAAGACATATTAAAAAGAGATTGTAAAATATATATTTTGCTTGATTTTATATCAGACGATGTTCATAGTGCACTCCACATGAAGACGTCGACCAGCACGCTGCACGATAAACACCATGAACACCCTACATGCTCCACGATGAACATCTTACACGCTTTACTATGAACACTCTGCACCATGAACACCCTACTCGCTTCACCATGAACAACCTATACTCTTTGGTTCTATTCGGTAAAGTCACGTAGGTAAAAAAAATAAAACAACAAAAATCACGACGTTTCGGCCACAACACAAGCGGCCTTCATCAGGTGAAGGGACCAGCCTGTCTCGAAGACTGCGCTGGAGTGAAACAGAGCCAGGCTCAGACTGCGACCTTTAAGCTGTGTGAGAGGGATTAAGGTGTCTCGACAAAGGAATTAGCATAAAAAATTAGCATTTGATTGGCGGACTTAGCATGATGAAAGGTGTAGCACACGGCAGTGCACCTTTAAGCTGTGTGAGAGGGATTAAGGTGCCTCGACAAAGGAATTAGCGTAAAAAATAGCATTTGATTGGCGGACTTATCATGATGAAAGGTGTAGCACAGTGATCGGCACCGGCAGTGCACCTGCCTGTGCTGCGAAAGTTTGGGTACCACCACTTGAAAAAAATATACTGTACCAATGAAAATTAGTTTAATGTTTAGTTCGATTTAGAACATCTTTCCAATGGTTGTTTAATTTGAAACCATCTTCTCGGTTGAAATTGTGTCTTTGTTTGTAGATCTGAATTGCCTCGTGAACAAATCTCTGATAAAAACCTGTGGGTTTGATAAAAATCTGTGGGTTTCCAAAACCCACAGGTTTTATCAGAGATTTGTTCACGAGGCAATTCAGATCTACAAACACAGACACAATTTCAACCGAGAAGATGGTTTCAAATTAAGCAACCATTGGAAAGATGTTCTAAATAGAACTAAACATTAAACTAATTTTCATTGGTACAGAATATTTTTTCAAGTAGTGGTACCCCAAACTTTCGCAGCACAGGCGGGTGCACTGCCGGTGCCGATCACTGTGCTACACCTTTCATCATGATAAGTCCGCCAATCAAATGCTAATTTTTACGCTAATTCATTTGTCGAGGCACCTTAATCCCTCTCACACAGCTTAAAGGTGCACTGCCGTGTGCTACACCTTTCATCATGATAAGTACGCCAATCAAATGCTAATTTTTTATGCTTAAAGGTCGCAGTCTGAGCTTGGCTCTGTTTCACTCCAGCGCAGTCTTCGAGACAGGCTGGTCCCTTCACCTGATGAAGGCCGCTTGTGTTGTGGCCGAAACGTCGTGATTTTTGTTGTTTTATTTATTTTTTACCTACGTGACTTTACCGAATAGAACCAAAGAGTGTGGATCCTTGCAGTCACGAAAGCTTCAAATCATGAACGACCTGTAGCAGCCCTTGCGTGCCGCTCCTCTTCCTCCGTCCCCCCCACCTCCTCGGCCCGTTCAGGTGCCTCATCAGCCACCATAATGAACCTCATGGCGAGACGCCGTGGTCCCGAATAAACGAAAGTCAAAATCGTAATAAATGTACTTTTGGCGACTCCGTCCCACCGCGCAACATAAACGCCGCGACCCACCAGAAATCAATCCTCTCCTCGTTCTTCACCAAGCACCTGTCGTTGCCAAAATTGTCGTGGTCACAAACAAAACTTTGAAACTTTTATTAGTTCATCGTGTAGAGCTCGTCGAGAGGAACAGATTGCCGTGTCGTTCGCCTTCAACAGACATAAAATGATATTTGGTTCTTTCGGTAAAGTCACGTAGAAAATAAATAAATTAAATAATAGAGTACGACGTTTCGATTGCAACACAAGCAACCGTCATCAGGTAGAACTAAATTTGAGAGAGAGACAAAACACAGACACGGAGACACACAGACAGACACACAAGCAGAGAGAGACAACACAGACACACAGAGAGAGACACACAAAATAGACACACAGAGACCCAACACCTCTGTGTCGAGGCCTTAAACAGAGAGAGAGGGGGGGGGGCAGAGAGAGAGAGACAGGTGGGTCTGCTGGGGCAGCTGCTGGAGCAACGCAGTTTATGCAAGAGCCGGGGGCTTATGGGACCCCGGGGTTCTGCCATAAGGTTCATTATCACCACGTGCTGCTGGGGCTTGTGAGTTCGATACTAACCTTGACGCCTGCATATTTAGAAGTCTGCACGTTCTCCCCGTGGTCTCGTGGAGTTTTCTCTGGGTCCTCCGGTTTCCCCCGCCTCCATATGCGTTTAGAGTATTGCTGCTATAAAT